AATTATTTTTTTTTTCTATGACATACAGATTCTTGGAAAACCAATGTTTACCGCCCCCCTACATGGTGGTTTTTTGGAAGGAACCCGGGGGTAGAAGTAGTTTTTGTCTCTGATAACTGGAGTATGGAGCAACTTATGATTCAGCTAATATTTTTTACAGTTATTATATTGTTCATATTAGTATTCCATTAATATTTTATTTTAAAGTTACACTTTCATTTAACACTAGTACATTAATTTACAACCCTTGGTGTTTTTGGTGTTTATTTTGCTAATAAGTTATATGGTTAACATACTCGTAGTATATGCACACATTTGCCATTATTTAGATCCATTTACTACTATTTTACTACTAACAACTAAATATATTCATTTAGTAATATATTTCTGTTTAATTAAAGCTGTAACTAAAATATGTAGCAAATTTATACATTTACTGATAAATATATGCATACACTAAGTAAATACAGTCATTTAATAGTACCCATATATTTAGTTAATGCCTTTATAATAATAGTTAACTATTTAAATAATGTAACTGAAATTTTCTGTAATGTTTTCCACTGAGTGAAATTTATGAATGACCTAACATACATATCAAAACAAAAAATACTTTCAAACATGACTTTAAAACAAGAAATATAATAATAAAACATTGTGTGAGATAATAATTCTAAGAAAATGAAATAAATAAAAATGAATTATTGAATTTTTTGGGAATCAAAAAGTATATACTTGGAAAGAGTTGATTTCCAATTACACATGAGGTTGATTCCCAAAAAATTGAATGAAAGAAAGTACTCAAGACTAAAAATTGGAAACTGTGAAACCTGAGGAACCCAGAACTTGTTTAACATAAAATTACGTGTATGGCAAACATGTTGGCAATTACCTACTTATTGTAATGCATAAAAATGTATAAATATAGAGTGTTCCACATTAGGAAAATAACATTGTGGAGATAGGGCCATGTATTTCTTATGGACGATAAAAGCGGGGCGATGCCACGACAAACACGATTCAGGGTTGTATAATTTGTATTTTCGTTTCCACAGAGATGAATTAAATGAATGTTTTTTAATGTAATTGACCAAAAGTGCCCATTCGAAACAAAAGATAAAAAGTAGGGAAATGATTTTAATTAAATAAATAGTATCTACAAAAGATAATTTTATTTTATCTTATTTTAATTATAGTAACGACAGTTTATTTGTTTTTCGGTGAAAATACAATATGCCATGAATCATAGAAATCAGTAGGAAATATTGCTTAGTTAAATCATGCATTTTGCCAGCTATTACAGATTTAAAAGCAAATAAACGGACCGATTGCATATATCTAATTACTAATTGCAACATATCTAATTACTAATTGCAACTTAAAATAATACAGTTTGCATAAGTCAGTGATTTTATGTTGTTCTCTGACTATATAATGATAATAAGGCTTTGTGGTTCTTTAGTAGTTATTCTGACTTTACAGTTAAATGTTAATTGAAAATGGGAATTCAAAAATTAAGCCAAAGGAATATCTTGGACATCCGTGCAAAAGAGAGTGCCTGAGAGTTTTGGCAACACTGATCTCCATAAGCATAATGTTATTTTCTTAACTTGAAACAAAGTATAGATAAGGTGGAATTCTGTCTATGCTGAAAATTTATCCAGCAATATGGATTGATACATAGGAATATTAAGAGAATTTTAAACAACAGAATTAAAGAATTCTGTTTGTAGCAGCACTTCATTTACAGAGAAGCCAGTAACAAATATGTTGGACAGAAAAAAGAAAGAAGTCATGTTTATTAATTTCTTTAGATTTGATACCATCTACTACTGGTATTATAAACATGCAGAAACTGGAATATTATTAAATTGACTTTATATGTATATAATATAATCCAAAAAAATGTTTTAAGTGAATGCATATTGTATCATGCTGGGCTTGTGTAGTTCATTAGAGAACTAGTTCAAAGATCTGGCTATGAACTATAAACTAAATGAACTAGTTCACCAGAGCTGACTTAAACTGTTCACTCGCTCCGCTCAGCCGTTTATTTCCTGGATCCGAAGCTTCGCGTTTCGTTTGTTCGGTGGTCAGGAGCGGTTTAGTTCGAATACTTCCTAGTCCAGACGAGACGAACGAAATAAGTGAGCTGGGCAGCCGAGCAGGTAGAGGGTAGGAAGGAAGAGCGTGATAACGAACTAACTATCTAGGAACTAATATGTGGACAATTAGTAGATGTGGGTGAGTGCTGAAACTGCTGAGAAATTTAGTTGAGATTATAATTTCAAGTTTGTGGTGCTTGTTATTTTCATTATATAGGTAATAAGGTGTAAGTAATGAATAGTGAAGATGTTTCTGGTCACATGTCACCTTCCTCAAGTACCAAAGCATGATCTCAAACCAGAATAACAAATTTTGTTCGAAAGCCACCATCAATACATAAAATAGAACAAATTGATAAACAAGTTATCAAAATGATCGCTAAAGGGCATCATTCATTAAGAATGGTTGAAGAAATAGAATTTAAAAAATTAATTAAAATGGTATCTCATTGTCTGAGAATTTGCTCATAAAAACACATCAGCAAATAGCAGAAGAATTACAAATAAAGTTAAATAACGCACAAGCTTTGTGCCTTACTACTGATTCATGGATATCCAGCTCTAATGAAAGTTACATTGCTGTAACAGCTCATTATATTGACCAACAATCAAAGCTTTGTTCTTCTATGTTAGGTTGTATCCAATATAATGAAAGATATACTGCTGAAAACATGTTAGATTTTCTCAAAAACATAATGCAAGAATTGCATCTTTCTCACAAAATAACTCCTGTTGGAAGTGATAATGCGCCAAATATTTTATTAACTGTTAAAGTGGGCAATTGGACATTAGTTGGGTGCTTTGCACATTCATTAAATTTGGTTGTTCAGAAAGCAAAATAGATAATATCAGATACTCTTGCAAAGGTGGAATCTATTGTAGAATATTTTAAAAGAAGTACTCAGGGACTAGGTAAATTACAAGATACCCAAAGACAAATGAACTTAGAACTTCTAAAATTGAAACTAGGTTTCAACTCATTGAAGTTCGTCATTTGAAATGTTAGAGCGCATAATTAAAATAAAAGATGCTATTATTACAACTACAGCAATTTTGCCGAACGACCTTTCCTGCAACCATTTTATGAAATAAAAACAGAACTTTGTTCCGAAAAAAAAATATAACATTATCAAAAGTTGTCTTTTGTAAAATTATTGATAAATCTTTATCAAAAAGTTCTACAGACAATCCTAAAACGACCAAATTATTAGATGTTTTAAAAGAGGAAATGAGAAATCGATTTCAAAATATAGATGATAATGAGCTTTTTGCAGAGTGTACTATTTTGGAACCAAGGTTTAGAAATCGAGATTTTACAAATGTCAAAGCTTATGATAAGACATTACAGGGACTTCGAAATAAACTTGCTGTTGTATCTTTGCTGGAAGTTAATCAAGAAAAGGTTACAAACAATATAAACATAAATATTACAATCAGTGAGACAGAAACCAGCAGAAGAGCATTTGGGATAACTATGATGAGCAAACTATAAAAATCATTAGACTAGAAAATAAACAAATGGCTGGCATTATAGAGTTGGACAAATATTTTGGTTAGGACTATCTAGATATAAAAAGCAATCCACTAGAATAGTGGGATCAGAGAAAAAAGGATTATCTAAATTTATACTTGTTAATTTTAAATCGATTTTGTGTCATCTCAACTTCTGTGCCATGTAAACTGATTTTTTCTGGCACAAGTCAAATAATAAATGAACGTAGAACTCTTTTAAAATTGAGTAAAGTTTAGAAATTAATATTTTTACATACGAATATGTAAAATAAGTCATTTAAATCTATTTTATAATGTATTAATTTTAGCTACTTTCTTATAAATTATGTTAGAGTACTGGTTTTATTTTTTAAATAAATACTATTTAATTTGTCCTTTATTTTCCTATTAATGATTTTGACCACATTCTTAAAAAAACAATAATAAATTTTGTAATAAAATATTTTTAATACTAATATAAATTAAAATCGGTGTTATCAACAATAAACTTATGTACAAAACATAAAATAATCTTACATTTTGCTAGTGTGTAAATAAATCTCTCATGCTTAGTAACTCTTTGAGTTAATGAACTAGTGAACTAAACGAGCGACCTAGTTCACTTCTCACATGTGAACTAAACTGAGCACTCTTTATGATGAACTATTATGCCAAGCCTATATCATGCAGAGTATCAACATTAAATTGCTAGAAACTAAAATGAATCTATTTTTCGCTTTTAATCTGGAATATTAAAATAAATCATTACACATGTGACTAGCCACTGAAGTGATAATATATAGTATTTAATAATAACACTGTTAGTAAATAAATATTTCAAAATTTGAGATTTTAGCAATTCTGAGTATGTAACAGGTGAAAATAATAAGTACCAGTCGATTTTTATATTTCAATTCCTTTATACATAATCAGTTTATCCTACAATATTAGAAATTTGTCTAGTGTCAAGTTCAAGAGATTAATTTACCAGCAGTTGTTAAATGAACACTAATTTAAAAAAATAAATAGTTTATAATTTATAAATTTAATATGTAATATTATGTTCCATTGTAAAATACATTTTTAAATATTTAGATACAGTTTATCTATCCTATATTCAGGGTGTTAGGTGGAATAGCAGTTGCATGTGGCTGTTACAGTGGTATATAAACTGAATCTCACCCTACTGATATGATATTTTATTGTAAAGGAAAATTAATTTGTTTGTAAATAAAGACGTTTATTATTTTTATTATTATTAATCTCAATAAATTGCTTTCAACTAAATATTACTTAATTTTATAGAAAGTTGTGTCTGACATCTAAAATTAACCAAGGGTTTGAGTTAAAAATATATTAAAATTCATAAATCGTAAATTCTTAAACATAGGCTAATTTACATACCAGAATTTTTCTTCAATATACTGAGCTAGGTAGTGCCTAACTTCAATAGGAAATATATCACCATATATCTGTTGCAGACTCCCTGGAGGGAGCTGTTGTGCTTTAGCCCAAAGTGCCATTGTTATCTATATCCTAAAATTAAAAATATATATGTTAATAGAACTCCCTATGTTATTAAAAAAGTTGAACAAATATTTAAAAATAAATTATCAGCTTTCTAAACATGAAACTCTCAAGGTCGTCGTTGAGCGGGACCCGTCCATTTATGCAAAATTGTTTATATAAAGAAATGACTCTTAAATGACAGATTAAAATTAATATTTAAATTGAGCAAATTTCCCTGATGGTAAATATTACCAGGGAATAGTAAGTTTAATTTTATAGTTTGAAAATGTTATAGAAATATCGAAAAACTGAACAATTTACCTAGCGCTGCATATCAACAACATGGCAACCAAAACATTATATCCTTATCCTTCTCTCGTTATCTGTCGGTGTCAAGTGTCATCTTGTCAATGATGCTTTGTTTCTTTTTTGGTGCACGGTATCCAAGAAAGATAAGGAGATCTGTGGAATCTGTATTCGAGAAGTTAGACAAAATTAGATACGCAATAACTGAAAATATGTCTAGAATCGCACAACGCGGTACGTTGTTATAAACTAGCACGTTGGAATATTTTAAGGATCGTGTTAAAAAATATAATGACCTTATATATGTAACATTATGCTAAATAGTAATTTAGTATGTAATATAATTATGTACTAATGATGCGATACTCCCAAAAAGTAATCAATTCCAAATGAGGTTTTTTGTTTTTGAAAAACCTATATTCTTTGCGAGTTAATTGAAATAATAATTGCAGTTGTTATTTCTAGAAACAAATAATTATTCGGTTTTCACTTAAGTCCTAATGTTTGAAAAATAAGCATTTATCCTGGTTCATTGTGTATTTTTCATATGAATATCCGGTAATAAAAGTATTGTGTACTTTTACTTCCTGTTTACCAAATGACGCACTTATAACGAAACAGTTTTTAACTTATTTAGATCATTAATGTATTTTATTTTTGATCCTCTGATCGAAATGTCCAGTTTTAATGCCTCCTTTTTTTGCGGCGTCCCAATTCGTTTAGTTTATTTTGTGTTTTTTCAGACTTTGGCACTGAAATGCAGACTGGATAGTAAGAAAGACGGAATTCAGAAACATCATGTGCTGAAGGAGATTAATACTGAGCTAATACAATTGTACCATTCACCCAACCAGAATAACCAAATACTTCAGCTTTTTTACGAACTCATAGTCCTTTTTGCAGATGTGTCAATAACTAAACCATCGAATCTTTAAAATTGTATGTACTCTATGTAGGTACATTTGAAAAGCGTCCAGATATGATTCAGCTTTCCATCTTGTACAATAAATTAATGAAAATATAAGCCTCTAAATTTTAGCTTCACAGAAAGATCCGATGTCGTGTCGGCTTCTCTATTGAAATACCTACTCTATTAGTTTCTATCTTGGGCCATGTCGATAATCATCTCGTTTTCCGGCATGTCCTATCTAAGCGTTTCCTCCAGATCTTCTTTAGTCTCCTCTCCTACTTCTCCCAAGAACTAGCAAATCTGCGATTCTTCGTTTAGGGCTAAATTCGGAGTTTTGTTTTACTTCAAATCACACGTTCGTATGCAGTATAATTTCTTTTTTACTTTCAAAAGTACAACGTGCTACAACAGTCCGCTAACAGACAGTAGCATTTCGAAATCAGCAGAGTAAGATGTTTTTTGTACCTATTTACACAATCTGAAGACAGTTTGTTCATATGATTAATCTTCATTTAATTGCTTGTCTTTCTAAAAGTTTTTATTTAACTTGCAATGCATCTAGGTATCTATCTATTATTCGCTCGTTTGAGCGATGTATTGATATTGGTTTGTTGTTTTGTTACAGCAGCAAAATGATGACGAAAAAACGCAAAGTTGAATTTGAGTGTCTACCTTTTAAGGAAGAATGGTCATGGAAATTATTATTCACAGAATTTAAAGAGAAACGAGTGTGCCTCATTTGCAATGAATCAGTTGCAGTTTTTAAAGATTTTAATTTGTCTCGACACTTCTTTAAAAAAACGTGCAAATACAAAATATAAGCATACGACAGGGGCAAAGAAAAAGACTTTTGTTGAAAGGCAAAATGAGAAGTTACGTGAACAGCAAAACATGTTCACGAAGCAATCGTATACTCACAAGGCTGCAACACTGGCAAGATATGTTGTAGTTTACAAAATTCATCATCATCATCAGTAGCTCGACAACCCTTTCTGGGTCCTGACTTGTTCTAGGAGTTTCCGCCATTCTGCTCTGTTCTTTGCTTTGTTTTTCCAGTTGGTAATCTTAAGTGATTTTAGATCTTGTTCCATGTATCTAAGTTTGGGTCTTCCCTTTGACCTTCTCCCTACTGGTGTTTTCCTCATTATATCTTTGGTGTGTCAGTCTCCAACACCCGTTCAACATAGCCCATCCAGCGCAGACGTCCGATCTTTATGAATGTTATGATCTCGGGTTCATTGTATGCTGTGTATAGTTCAAAGTTATATCTTCTGCGCCATATGTCATTTTCCTCTACCCCTTTATATATCGCACCTCAGCAACAACACTGTCATAAGTCAAAAATTGCCAATTTGAGTAAATCGGGTATGAAGATTATCCTTACTATTTAATGTTGGATTATTTCTATAAATTGAATGAAAGTGTTATTATTTTTACTTCAATAAGATTAATTTAGGTTGTTTTATCAATTAGTATTCTGCATTGTAGAAATTTGTAACCAACATATTAATTATTAATAAATGTGTCTATGTTGCTGAAAACTCAAAGGTGTTTTTCAATCAAGGAGTGCATGTTGTCCCCTTTATTTTGCTTATGACCAACAATCAAAAACTTTAAATGATCAAAGGAATATCGGGTTTGCTTACTATTTAAAGAAGTAACGAGGTTGTAAACTTGTTTTTCTTCTCACCATAGCAATTGTCGCAAAAAATACAACAGGAAGGCCTTTAGAGCATTCATTTGTAAGAAATTAGTGTTAACATGATCCTATCTCGTTAGAATTATGGTTACCTTCTCCTTCGTGCCAAATGTAGCAGAAACCATACAATAAACCTAAGTCAAATATAGTAAAGTTATTCGTACTTAACTTTGATTTACAGTTAAAGGAGTTGATATCCCTACAAGGTGTGTGGAGAACTGTCTGTAAATCAAAACGTACCGTAATACACTCACATGCTTTGCTTCTTTGCTTATCTTTATATTTTTTAATATGTGATAGATCTTCTTCTTTTAAATGAAGATCACAATTTTTCTGTAAATTGACCTTACTCTTTGCATTTTTATACTCTGCACACATACCGCACTGATCTTTCTTAGGTTGGAAAACTGAGATTACATGCATTCCTAAAAATTCTTGAGAACATGGTGACATTCCCATAACTTTTATTTTCTTCCATACAAATTGTTTTATCATCTCTATAGATGTCAGCTATTTGCGGATAGCTGTCTCTATAGATATATTTTGACTGATCAGTCATTCTTCTATGACAAATTCACAAAAAACACATTTTTAACAAACAGAAAACACACCACAATATGGCTTTCAGAATAATGTGATAGTGTTGTTGTCAAGACATATCGCTATTAGTAAATAATAGTCGTATAGCACACTTAATTTGAAAATTTGAAAAAAAAATATCTAAAGACTACTTCAACACTGTCATAAGTGAGTTGTTACACTATTGCTGAATAGAGTTGTACAAAAGTAGTTATAGCTATAATAGACATAAGTCGCCATCTAGTGCTTATATGAGAAAATATCTTTTCGACAGTAATACTAACGAAAGTTTAACAAAATACCCATTTATTACAACAAAAATAAAAAAACACTGAATTTCGACTTGTGACAGTGTTGTTACTGATGTGCGATATGTATCTAAGGATTTTTCGTTCAAATGTACCTAATAGGTTCTCATCTCTTTTTGACAGTGTCCACGTCTCTGACCCATATACAAGGACCGGTTTTATCAGGGTCTTGTATATTTTGCATTTGGTTTTTCTTGTGATGTTGTTAGATCTTAGATGTATAATTAGTTCATTATATGTTTTATTAGCGATATGTATTCTTATCTTAACTTCTTCACTGATATTGTTATCTGCGGTAACTAGTGAACCTAGATATGTAAAACTGTTCACGCTTTCGATGTTATAGTCTCGTATTGTCAGATTCTGTAGGTTTCTTTGGCCTGTCGATTTACTGGCCTTCATTTATTTGATTTTTATTTCGTTAATGTTTAGGCCACTGTTTTGTGCCGCTCTTTCTATCGCATTAAATGCTTTTATCATATCTTTTTCGCTTTTAGCTATTCTATCAACATCATCTGCAAATGCCAATATTTGTACACTTTTTGTTATTATTGTTCCTCTGGTGTTGACTTTTGACTCCCTAATTATTTTCTCTAATGTGATGTTGAATCGAATACAGGATAGGATATCCCCCAACTATTTGTTCCGCATATGGTCTCAATCGGTTATACACAATATTTGACAGTATTTTATATGCTACAGTTAGTAGCGTTATTGATAGGTAGTTTTTGCATTGAAGCTGATCTCCCTTTTTATGTAGTGGGATAATTACTCCGGTATTCCAGTCTAGTGGCAGTTGTTTATTATTCCATATGTTCACTATTAGTTCGTGTATCGAATTCAATAGGGAGTCTCCACCTTTCTTTATTAATTCTGCGCTAATGTTGTCTAATCCAGGTGACTTGTTGTTTTTCAGTCTGGTAACTGCTTCTTGCATTTCAGCTACTGAAACGGGGTTGTTTCTCTAGTATCCGTTTGATCCAGTTAGACAATCTATTAGAAGCATCAGTAAGAAGAGTCACTACCTGATTTGACAATGGCAAGTGCGACCTTGCCGAAACGTCGTCAAAATAATGGTTTTCTCTCTCTCTCTCTCTGCTGAGATCTCTTATCTGCCTCATGTTTTAACATTCCATATGCCGATTTTGATGTTTTATTCGAGCTAAATTGGTAAAGATTTTGTCTTTTAATGAATGAGATCTTGACATCTTTTAATTGTCCTTCTCTGCCAGATCTTGGTATCCGATGCCCGTGATCAGTAATACCTTCTGTTCTGTGATTTGTCATAGCCATGTTAATTGTACTAGAGGTACTCTACGAATTTTTAATACAGTGGTTCGTTGCCTTCTGCTTCCTGATACCATTGCCTATTTTTTATATCCGCCTTCGATCCTGATTTCTCAGTTTTAAACAAAAGTTTGCCCTTCCACTTACTAGCTAGTCTTCTTCTTCTTCTTTTGCCATCATAACCCTGGATGGGTATTTGCCTGTCTGGCTATGTGCTTCCATTCAGATCTCCCTTGTGCCCTTCTTCTCCATTCTTATGTTCATTGTTTTCAGGTCGTCTTCCACGTCATCCAACCATCTCGTTCTGGGCCTTCCTTTTTTCGCCTTCTATGGGCCTCCATTGTAACATTTTCTTTGTTATTTTTGCATCGTTTTGTCTCTGCACATGTCCCAGCCATGACAGTCTTTGACTTTTCACAAATCTAACAATGTCATAACCTTCATTTAACTCATTAACCTCGTCGTTTCTCCTGATTCTCCATGTGCCATCTTCCTCTTGTACCGGGCCATATACTTTCCTCAGTATTTTTTTCTCGAATGTCCTTATTTTCGGCTTCATCTTTTTTCGTCATTACCCAAGTTTCACATCCATAGGTTACTACGGGTCTAATCAGTGTTCTGTAGATAGTCATTTTGGTTCTTTTGTCTAATAATTTCGATGTCATCAATCTTTTATTAAAGCTGTATTACTGTAAAAGCTGTATTACTGTATGGCTGCGAAACGTGGAAGATATCAGCACCCATAGTACACCAATTACAAGTTTTCATTAATAGAGCGTTACGAAAAATCCTTCGTATATTTTGGCCTAACCGAATCTCCAATGAAAATTTATGGAACCAAAGCAACCAAGAAAATGTCATAAAGCAAATAAGGCGAAGAAAATGGAGATGGCTGGGCCACACACTCCGTAGACCGCCAAATGACATTGCCAGGACAGCACTGGATTGGAATCCCCAAGGCCGACGGAAAGTAGGCAGACCTAAGGGAACTTGGAGAAGGACAGTACTGGACGAAGGGAGAACAATGGGAAAATCCTGGCTTGAAATCAAAGCACTAGCCAGAAATAGAGTTCGCTGGAGACACTTTGTGGAAGCCCTATGTTCCTCTTAGGAATCTTGGGACTATATATAATCTTTTATTAGCATAGTATGTACGATTCCCGCTGGAAATACGTGCATTAATTTTGCTACTTACGGAGTTCTTCTGATTGATTTCTGTGCCGAGATATGTAAAGGCATCCACTCGTTCGATAGTATAGTTGTCTATTGTGATATTATTTTCATTGTCAGTTATTCTTTTGACTGTCATATACTTCGTTTATTTTGAGACCTCTTTTTCTTGCTTCAGGATCAATTTGTTTGAACACTTCCATTAGTCGTGGCTTATTCCTACTAATGATGGCTACATCGTCTGCATATGCAGTAATTTGTACTGATTTGGTGTTTATATGGCCGGTGATATTGGTTTTTCTGATGACTGCCCATTTTTATGAGGCTATTTCTTAGATATACCTAGATCACAAAGGTCTTCCAGCATTCTGTCTCTTTTCACACTATCAAAAGCTTGTTTAAAGTCTATATACATATTATATAGGTCTATGTCGTATTCGTAAGCTTTTATCTTGTATCGTTCTTAGTATGAATATGTTATCTGTAGTGGCTCTATTTGGTCTGAATCCATTTTGATAATTACCAATTATATTTTCGGAGTATTCTAATAATCTATTATAGATTAAACCAGAAAGAATTTGGTATATTACATTTAGCAATGTAATTGGCCTATGATTCTGGCATTCCCTCTTATCTCCTTTTTTATATATTGGCTGTATGAGGCCAACTGTCCATTCCTCTGGCATTTGCTCCTTCGTCCATATTAATGTTATTAGGTAATGGATTCTTTCCCAGAGTTCGGATCCTCCATGCTTTAATAATTCTGCCGAAATTCCGTCCGTTCCTGGTGCTTTATTGTTTTTTAATTTATTTATTATCTTAACTACTTCTTCATAACTCGGATTTTCGATGTGCAGCTCCGCCGTATAATATATTGTCTCGTTCTGATCATTTTCGTTGTCTGTATTTAGATTTTCTTCAAAATATTGTTTCCATCTCATTATAATTTTTTGCTTCTCTGTTAGTAGTTCTCCGTCCTTGTCTTTGCATATCGTTAGTTTTGGTCTAAATGACTGTGTGCTTTCTTTTATGCATTTATAGAATTTTCTGATTTCGCGTCTGTTGTTATGCTTTACGATTTCTTGTACTTGTTTTTTCGTAGCCTCTCTTTTCTTTCTTCTGCATATTCTAGTCGCTTGTACTCTTTTTTCGTTATAAATCTAACTGCTATTTCTTGTGTTTCTTTGAAGTTGGTTAAGCCTAGCTTGCCTTTTTTCCTCTACTGCAGTTCTGCATTCATCATCATACCATTCCGCATTTCTTTGCCTTTTGGCTTTTCCGACAGTTTCCTCTGCTGACTCCGTTATAATTGTTTTTAATTGTCTCTATTCCTCCTCTGCAGTATCTTCCTCTCTAGTTCGGTCGAGTTTTATTTGGAGAGCATTTCTGTAATCTTGTCTCGTAACTAGTGGGATTGCTTATACCGGGAATGGTATTTATTTTAGCCTATATTATCTTATTTTAAATTTATCATAAAATTATTATTTTTTCATATCTCCTTTTCTGCATAATTGTTGAAATATGACAATATATCGGCAACGCCTCCATGGATCAAATTACGCATAATTTAACTATTTACCCACAAAAAACACTATAATATGATATTTAAATATTTTATTTCATTCATGCTTTAACAATTCTTGTCTTTGTTTTATTATCTATAAACAATTGTGTATTATAAACAATTTTACATAATATAAACTTTTGTACCTTTTTAATAAAAAATTTTACAATATAGAAGATTTATTCATACATTAATTGGCCGATACTTTAAAACATTGTAAAAATATAGCAATTTTAGCTTTACCTATTTTGACCTCATATTTACAAGTTTTTCTGCTGCAACCAATCACAGAATTTGCGTCATACTTTAAAATAACAGATTGTAAATAGAACAATGCAAAGGCCACATTATGCGTTGTTAAAAAATAAAGCTATTACGATAACGACAGCACGAAGCTTAAATAAACTACCAACTAAATATTTAATAAAATGATTATTTCTATAAGGGCGTGGTTAAAAGTGCTCTTTCCAGCCCATAGATGGCACTGCTACAAGTAAAATTACCCTGTTGTTATGTTGGCACACTGGTTAAGTAAATTTCAAACGTGTTTTGCTCAGACAAAGCTGTACATCATAATGCAAAAGGACCAACTCAGATTAACATCACTATTCGTCGAAATTAAATATTGGCAAAAAGTTTCCACAGTTTATATACAAAAGTATATAAATGTGGAAACAATTGATAAACAGTACCTGGCTAAATTATTAGGCTAAGCGTTAAAAATTTGCATTAGTAATTTTTATCAATAGGAATGTTATTACTTTTTCGCATAGCAACATTTATATTGTATGGTATCATTATTGTACTATTTTAACGTTGGCAACACCCGCCATTTTTAGACAGCATTGCGTCCTGTCAACGAGTGTGCATTTTATAACCTCAAATACTGTCTGTGAACATTACTAACGCAAAATAGAATAAAAGCCGATTGGGTTTGTTTCGAAGGGCAAATGGAGAAATTAAGTAATAGCAGAAAAAATGTAGCTATACTCTGTCTCAAAGTGACTCGTCTGTACAGCGTAAGATATGCAATGCTAACCTTATGGGAATTTCGCCAAGACGTTGCCAGTTTTATGCAGTGAGCGATGGCGTTCTCTATTGCCTATCTTTCAAAATAAACGGAATAAACCAGGAGTTCTCAACGAGTCCTCACGTACAATTTTTTGTAATTTACAAATATGTAATTATAGAATATACTTGGAAAAAAAGGATACGGGTAGTAAAGCAGATTGACTCGACGCAGACTGGTAAACGAAAGGAATAAAACCCAACTGCAAATGTTACAATAGAGAAATAAGAGAAATCCTAGCTGTGTTCAACCCTTTCACAGTCACGTCGTTGGTGAGCATAAGCATAGAAGTATTTTAGTTATCGTGGGACCAAATAGCAACAATCTGCTAAATCGCTGACAAAAGTATTTACATTAGGTTATGATATCATTCCGTAATAAATATTTTGTTTTTTGGAAGGTAATTGGCACACTCGAACCAAGTCCAACAGCTATTTTTGTTCATCAAAATCTTGTTAACCCTTTACCGCATTATGTGCCATAAATGACACAAACCAAAAAAATTTTTTTTAATGTTGTAACTAAATTTTTGTCGTAGCTGCATGGCAGCCCAAATCTGACACGTACTAATAGTGTACGCGAGATATGCGGCATAGTTCTGATGCGTGTGTTTCAAGTTCATTCTTTAAAAAATTTTTGAAGCTTGATCGAATTTCACCACTTAGTCCAATGTCATCTGCTCGCAGCTAAACTAACAATTTGTCTATCGAACAACTTTCTCGCATTTTTAGGCTTGGTCTAATCCAAAAACGTTTGGGTTTTCTTTTAGCAATCTGGGATGATGATGAGAGCAAAAAAAACTTGCGGCTAGCAATAAATCTTCAGTTTCATTTTTTTCTTGATTAAAACGCCACATGGTTAACCAACACTAATCACAACAACAACGTCACCAACTGAATTTGTTTTTATATTTTGTTGTTCTGGTGTGGACAGTTTGTCTCAATTTTGTTTTGTCTTTTGATGACAAATTTTGTCGCCGGTTTATGGTTTTTTTGTTTCAGAATTGTGTTTTCGTTTTGTCTGCTTGGTCTGGACCCGGCATTATAGAGCATATCACCGACCAATCAAATTTATACTCAGTGCAACAACGTCCAGATAAACCAGCTAATATAAAAAAATATGAAATAGAACAATTTATAGGAATTACTATTTAGATGTCGATAATTCAACTTCCATCAACAAAACACTATTGGAATGCCAATATTGGCCACCGAACAGTTAGCGATGTGATGAGCTGTAACAGATTCAAAGAAATAAAACGTTTCTTGCATTTCAATAACAATGATGACATGATTGAAAATGGTCAGCCTGGACATGACAGATTATTCAAAATTAGACATGTACTGAGCCAAATCAAAGAACTCCTACTCATGGTTCCGAAAGAATTTCTAGCTGTAGACGAACAGATTATACCAACAAAAGCGCGAAGCCAGCTAAAGCAGTATAACGAAAAAAACGCATGAGTGGTATTTCGCATATAGACAATGTGGGTGTCAGTGTAGTGTCCTGGTTTGATAATAAAATCGTTCCTACAATGTCAACATATGCTGAAAGTGAACCAAAGGGAGAAAAAAGAAGATTTTTCAAACAAGAAAGTATACATAAAATGATACCTTGTCCTAACAGTGTCTCCTAATCAACAACAACTACATGGGAGGTGTAGATCTCCCATATACATAAATAAATCAGGTCGAAGAAATATTATTTACGAATATTTTTTCATTTCATTGACATGAAAGCCGTCAATTGTTGGTTATTAGCCAAAAGAGCGAAGAAATTTTATTGACCCCTTTTGGATATCAAACTAGCAATAGCCGATGCTCTATGCAAAGCCGGAAAACCAATTAAACAGAACAGAGTAGGAAGACCGTCAAGTAGTAGCATTCAGCAGATGTACGAGAACAAACGACAAAAGGGACCCACTAAGGAAATACCCCAAGAATCATGATCATTTTCCCTATTGGGATGAGAGCACTAGGTCAGGATGAAAATTTCCAGGCTGTACAGGGAAAACATATATTGTGTGCACAAAATGCATACTTAAGTTGTGTATTAATAAAGAAAGAATCTGTTACTTGCAGTTTCATACTGTATAGTGTATACTGTAGCTTCAAAATAGTTTTAATATTACATTGTTGCATGATGTTCCATATTTCGCACCAAAAAATTTTTCTTGTTAAAATTCTTATCTGAGAATTTATTTTTGACAAAAAAAAATTCATGCGGTAAAGGGTTAATAAAATAATAAAAAAATAATGTTAATGTCCCACATATGTTACTTGAGGGACTATAAATTGTTGGAACATCCTCAATTTTCACCAAATTTGATTCCCTTTACCTTTCATTTATTTCAACTCTGTTTTTGGAGTCTTCATCAGTACTTACGGGTCCCGGTTTCTATTCTGAGTCAGCAGTTCATTCACTAGCGCACACTTCACTGTATTATTGCCGCATCTATTCTGAGTTTATACTTCTATACCGTCAATCTTGATTTGTGGAGTGTTGCTGACATTTGAAGCTTGATTGATAAACGAAGTGGGGACGTGTTTTATAACTATATAACCAAACATCACTTCAAGGAACGAAGTCATCATCGACGTTACAAAAGTACAAAGAGGAGTGACTCGGAAATTCTTGATGAAGACTCCAAAGAGAAAGTCGAAAGCTCGGCGTAGCAAAATCCGACGAGGTCCAAACCGGAAACGGAATAAGTTCTAATATTATTAAATATTATTATAATTCTGATATTACATAGTTTTTCTTGCTGGCCTAACATACAAGTGAATATTAAGGTCTAAATATAATAGAAAATGGTTTCCAATAGCATAAAATTACCGCGATGAAGATAATATTATATGTCGATTGTTCTTGATTACGATGCATTTTTAATCTGCAATAGTACTATTGATTTGTCTTGAAAACAAAGTTAATGACTCAAATGTTCAGGTTAGGAATTTACTTAGTTGTGTGATGCAGTACTACAAGTAACGAATTTTATTTTTATTAAGTATTCTATAAAAAAAAAACAAAAAAGTTTCGTGTTAAAATATATAAAATATTACAAAACTAAAATACTAAAAACAGTTGAATTATACAACAAATTGTTGTTATATTGCACTTGCATTATGATGGCATTAAAGTGGTTCCCAATAACATTAATCACATTCAAAGCAATGTCACAAATCGATATGTTTCATTATTTATAACTAATCCTACTTTAATTCATTCGTTGATAGAATTTATGTGCAGGATCTATTGTTTGTCTGAATGTCTAATGAAAATGTTATAAAAAATAGTCATTTGATACAATATCACAACTCGTTATGACTGTATTAAGGAATTATCACAGATTGGTTTGTTACCTTCACTAAAATGAGGTCCGTCCAATCAAAAACATAAAACCTACGTTTATATAAATCTATCAGTTTCACAGTTGTAAATTTTGTCTTTGCTCCCTCTAGCTCATCATCTCAAAGTTGACTAATCCATTTATGTCCTCAAATTGGTCGAGATATTCCACGGGACCGTTTATGTGACTGGGGACCGTCGAAGCTACAGATCCAGGACAACTGCACAAAAACAAACATTAAATAGTAAGAAAAATGGGAATATTATTCTATTACAACAATGGTTGGTGATAATATAAAGTTCTGATTTAACCTTTAATTTTGGTGACGTCAATCATGCAATATAAAACATTAGAAATAGGAAAAAAAATTAACTCACCTGCTAATTACCGACGGTGTATGGCGAGGGGAATCAGAATCGTGTTGTGGCGTGTTGGGGTAAGAATTAGGAAAGCACGTAAAACCAGGAATCTGAGTCACTAGTGTTGGTCTGACATAACCATTATTCGCCGATGGAGGGTTATCTGAAAAATTAGTACAGTTTTATAATGGTGATTTTTACATATATTGCGCAAATATGCGAGGAATATTTCAGAAATGTATGTAGAAGCAATATTCATTAATAATTATTTTGTTGAATATATACCGCTATTCCGCTATTTAAGAATTTTTAATATTTCTGGTAAACTATCACGTTTTTTTAAACCTTTCTTGAATTTTATATTGTAATGGAGCAATTATTGAATGAAAAATTGTTGACTTTTTCGATTGCTGTAATATTAAACTATATATTTATATCACGTACCTTGATATGGTGTGTAATATTTTCCAAATAAAATCTCTTTGCATATATCTGGGTACAGATATACCAAGTGATTTAAATCTGCAATGCGGTCGGCCAGAGACCTGATGGCAAAATCTTTGGATGTAAAAGGTTGCAAACTGAATACTTCTCCAGAATCTAAAAAATTAGAAGCCAATTGTAATGAGAATGAAAATATTTTATAAACGAGATCTAATATTATTCTTAATAAGTCCGGCCGAGATTTAACAATGCACAGTCTATTAACATACAATAATGTTACGTTTTTGTACGGTTCAGATATTAAGTTAAGATTAACGTGGTTTAACTAACTTTATTTAACTCCAAAAACTCACATAATTACAGAAACATACATTTTAATTACATTAATAACCCCCTCTATGGCTCAGTGGTAAGAACGCCTACCTTTGAACCTAAAGGTCGTGAGTTCGAATCTCACTTGAGTGGAGAAATTTTCGTTTATTAAAAATTAATTAATGAAAATAATTTCTATCCTTGTGCGATCGGTACTCACCGGAGGGACCGCAGACGTTCGGATGCAATTAGCGTCTCTTAGCAAAGACAATGACGTCGACTTTGCTAAGTATCAAGACAATTACTCTACACACACACTACACTCTACACTAGGTACCTGACTGTAAAAATTCACTGTACCATGCGAATGACCATTAGTTGTCGACGCATTAACTCAATAAAAAAAAACATTACATTAATAATTATGGCTTACAATTCGCACTGATAACGCTTACAATACAATTAACTGACATTGAATAATCACAGGCAGATTCAGCAGCTTATATAAAAAGAACATATGTTCAGCGGATGACGGTGTCCGAATCAGAGGACCAAAGCATAGAACCACAATAAGCGACATTTAACACAACAATTCATCATCATAATCCAGCCTCAAGAGTCCACTGCTGAACATAGGCCTCTTCCTCATGTTTCCAACGCCGTCTATCTTGCCCCGCTCTTATCCAGTTTTTATTGAGTTTTCTTAAATCGTCAGTCCATCTTGTAGGTGGTCGACCGACGCTTCTCTTGTCTTCCCTTGGCCTCCATTCCAATAACCTCTTTGTCCATCGCCCATCTGTCATTCTGGCTATGTGTCCTGCCCATCACCATTTTAGTCTGGCTATCTTCTCGATGATGTCAGTCACTCCGGTTCTTCTCCTGATGTCTTCGTTTGTTATTCTGTCTCGGAGAGTTATTCCTAACATGGACCGCTCCATTCTTCTCTGTGTGACTCTCAGTTTGTGACTACCAAACTGAGAGTCAACACAACAATTACATAGTATGAATATATGCTTATAGCAGCACTAGGAAACAAAAAATGACTAATATGTATATAAACTCGGAGGAACCTGTGACTGTGGTAACAACCAATCTATAATAAAAATAGTATTTTCTACAATTCAGTCTAATTATTACCCTGAAGATTGTTGCCAAGCCTACGTTGTTTACTTCTGACAGACCCGTCACAGTAAAATACAAGACAAAATGAAATTAAAGCACATACGGTATTTGAATTTAAAAAGAAAAAATATCCTGTTTCTAGCCGGACTTATTACAAATGAAATACGTGAAAAAACTTACCGGAATTCCAAGCGATCGTTATACCTCCCAACTCACTATCCGAAAATCTTAATAAAAATGTTCCTTGAACGCGCGAAGACAGAATCTCCTCAGCTTTCCTCTTTCTGACAAAACCCATGATGGCACTGAAATAAAAATAAATTCAATTGATGCTAACAACAACAACAATCGGTGTAACACTCTTACCCGTCAGCCCATGGTCCTCTTAGGTGTTCCCTGGTTAGTTTCATGATAGCAAAAAACCATTCCCAGAAAGTAAAATTCCTGTCAGTCAATGGTTCTTTGCAAAACTGTGACCAGCTTAGCATAGAATTCGTAGATTCGTTGTAATTACCCCTGAAGGCCTTTTCTGCCAAAAATCGTAAGTTGTCCTCAGTTAATCCTCTTCCGGTGGCGGCTCGGAATTTAAGGGATAGCATTTCTGCTACTTTACTCCACGGTACCTACAATATACCATTAGTGAGAAGTTGTAAAGTAGAAAATTTTACTACTACTACTACTACTTTGGCTGTGTTTTGAAAAACACAAAATATTGTAACGTGAACCGGAACTGTAATCAAATCTATAACATGTGTACATTCCTGAACCTTCTATGATGAGTCATCAATGTGTCTTTTACTACAAATTTCTCACAGGTTTTGTATGCAGTCAATATAAATCGAACCATGCACTTAAAATTCCGTTATAATATGATCGATTGCAGCTAATTAATCGAAAGCAAACGTGGTTGCGGTATAAGAGAAGATAGCTAAAATTTACCTATAGATATACAGTGGGTGATCAAATTATTATGATCACTTTAAAAAACTTTGTATTTTGCGGTTTAATAAAGAATGAAACTGCGTATTAACCTCTAATGATGTGAATATAATATAAAAATAGATCATAAACACGTTATTTTACGAAATTTCAAAATATTTTTTTCTTTGACCTTAAATAACATTTTTTTTTAATATTTTGTGTGACCTCCTGTCGATGACAGCTTTGATCCTCCTTGGCATTTTTTGAATGTTTCTCAGGCGGTCTTTTTTTATTTTATCGTTTCTGTGCCAGGTGGCAATGAGTCTCTCAATTAACTGCTGCTTATCTGTGACAGTTTCCTGCGCCACCCCCCTCTTCATAGGCTCCCATAGAGTTTCGATCGGATTGAGGTTTGGGGAATTACCTGGCCACTTCAGTACTTTAATTTTCTTTTTTTCCAGGTACGATCTTACTGTTTTTGCCTTATGGCACGGTGCTGAATCGTGTCATCATCAGTTGGCGCTACAGCCCTTCGTGAGCCTTCGCCTTCTTCAAAACATTCTTCCATCCTTCTCTATCGACTGTCTGCCTTCTCCAGCCCCTCACTCCAATCTCCCTCAGATCTTCCTTACATCGTCCAGATATCTGAGTTTAGGTCGCCCCCTTCTTCTTCTTCTTCCGACCGGCCTGCTTAGCATAGCTGAATCGTGTATAAAGGTAAAATCTTCCGATTCGCCAAACCAGTCTTTGGTTTGTGGAATGAGCTTTCTTTCCAGAACTTCCAATCTACTGATGTTGATTTATCATTCCATTCACAATGTACAATGGCCTTACTGTGCCCTTACTGCTAATCACAGACCATACCATGATCTTAAGAGGATGCTTTACTGGCTCCACTATGCAATCCTTGTGATATTTTTCACCCACTCGCCTTCGGACAAAGGCCAACTTATCCATGAGTATCTTAACTGTATACTAATTGGAGAAACAAGCCTGTGAATAAAAAAACTATGATATTTTTTTAGGATCAAAACAGTGGTTATAGGGATTTAAACTTTAGTAGTGAAGTAATTTACCTTATTCCAATCCTCAATTGTCCAATTTTGGTATTCTTTGGCCATTTCAGTCTCTTTTTCATCATTGCGATGGCCAACTTTGGTTTTTTTTTTTGGCAAAGCATCATGATTTGAAACCTTGTTCGGCAAGCCTTCTGCGGACTATTATGTCAGAAACTGGCATCACAGCTTCACGAATAAGTCCCGTGAGGATTCTTCTTGGCTTATTTCTATTGTTTAAGAAGATATACCTCATTTTTATTTCGTCTCTGGGTGTAGTGACACGCTTTCGATCACATTTTTGGGCACGCTGGTGAGTTAGGTGTCTGTTATTATTAATTTTTTTCTTGATATTGCTCACTGTTGCTTGCGCTACCTTTTTGATCTATCTGACGTTTTGAAAGCTTTGTATTCAATAAAAGTGTCTTTATCTCCACCATTTTAAACACAGGAACGTCTTTAGCCTTACCGATTATGATTTTCTTCTCAAACATCGAAATGAATTCAAAATGTCTTTAAAATTAAAACTGATTTTGTCACTCACAATCACCACTAATACATTAACAAAACATACTACAAAGATAAAACGATACTAATCTTTCAAAAACAATACAAAACATACAAATTCAGTTGTAAACTCCAAGCGCAAATTCATCACAATGTGTATGTTGTCACGTAATTTGACACAAATGACAGTTCCAGAGCTACAAACGTCAAAAAAGTGAGGTTATTAGTGACAAAATATATTGGCATACCTTAATCGTATAGTAGTATGATATTATTATAAAAATTTTGAACAAATTTGAAAAACTTAAACTTGTCTGACTGATCATAATAATTTGATCACGCACTGTAGATAGATATAAATAAAACTTACTTTTTCTGGTACAGCAAAAGGTATTCTCCCGGATTCACTAAAAGCATTATCCCACGTAACAGTTGCCCACGCATACGGCTCTTGATTACCGTGAACAATAACCGCAACGGGTAAACTCAAAGTCCACACCTGGAACATTAATTCTCCTCCTCCGACACTAAATTGTGACTGGAATAGTAGCGAGAACTTTTCATCCATTACACTTTCCGACCCTAAAAAATAGAAATACGGAAATGTATTGACAAATTTCTAGCCTAATAAGCCAGTGTTACCCAAAGAGATCCCCAACCTTTTGATAAAATTCGACTAGTTAGACTAGTTCATTTGTCATTTAAAATATGGACAAATCAAATAAAAGATCTAATACGCCTAAGATTTGGTACAGTTGTTAAATAGAGAAAAATGGTTTTACTTGCGCCATCTATGTGCCAGTTACACATTTTTTTCTTGATACGTTTCTTTGAAAGAGAATGTTTCCATTCAAGAAGACCGCTTTGCAATTAGATGCTGGTAACTTTATTATTAGCGGACCAGATAAGCAGTAAACATTTTACTGTTCTGTTGTTTTAATCTGAACTGCCCAACAAGTTATCGTTTATTGGTTTTAATATTTTATTGCAATAGTACGAGTATGGAATATTTATTTAAACAGTGAATTTATTACATGTTACTTTTTTTAATTTCTTCTGGCGTATCGTATTATGTAGGTTTACCCAATAATCAAAGTTATGACTTTACAAGAACATACTATTTAAAAAATAAGGAGTAAATACCATGGGTCATAATAATTGTAATCTCCTTTATACACACTTTAACAATTTGTTTAGTAGTGTATTTCTTAAATCCACACAATCATTGAAAAATTATTCATGCTGTTTAAAAATATCTTTCTGTTAATGACACTGTCATCGACAAGGTAGATGAAATTCAAACGTCATCATATTTCTCTTCTGTTGTTCTGTTTATCGTTAAAAATGAATTGATGGGCGTGGGTTGTATTGGTGTTATTTAATAATTTAACAAAATACATAATCAGCAAAAATCTTATTTACAACATGCGAACGGTTTTTGCAACAATGTAGTGTTTATGCTTGTTTAATATTCGCTGTTAAATAATTTGTGTTCGATTGTTTCGTCTGTTGTACAACCCTCGTCCTTTTTAGAGTGTAGTAGTTGTATATAAGTACCTTTTTTTTTATAGTAGTGTAGTGAAGCGATACTTTAAATCAAAAAGTTATTTTAATTTGGACAAAAATAGTATTTGTCCATTAACATCTGTTATGGCAGTTCAGAAACGCACATGCGATGCTTGCTGTATATCAGACAGGACATTCCGAAGAATTAATAACATAAGTGAGGATGAAATAAATAAACTAAGCAAGAGAAATCGTCGACATCCAAAAACTTTAGATTTGCACCAGTCAATTAAACTTGCAATTAAAAATATTATATATAATATGTATAAAGCCAAAGAACATGTAACAGTTAGTGCTGTGTTACAAAAAATAAAAGACAACGAACTGTGTGATATTAGTTTAACAAGTTTGTGGAGAGTGCTGAAACATTTAGGTTTTCGATATAAAAAGCCAAATAATAGACAAGTATTGTGTGAACTCCGTAATGTTGTAAATATGTCAAAATCATCCTGGCAAGATGGCACCACGAAATGTTATTCTTCCAGTCGTTCCGGTAATGGTAAACGCTACATTATACTTCATGTTGGAAATAATGAGGGTTTTATTCCTAAGCTAGCTTAATTTTTTCGTCCACACAGAATACAGGTGATTACCATGGAAATATGGATGCAAATATTTTTGACGAATGGTTTGAAGAAAATTTGTTAAAAAAATTGGAGTAACCATCCATAATAGTGTTGGATAATGCATCCTACCACTCACGAGTGGAGGAGAGATTTCGTTCAAGCAGCTGGATAAAGGAAGAAATAAAGTTGTGGTTGACAGAAAAGAAAATTTATCACAGTGACATATTTTTAAAAGTCGATTTACTTCGAAGGTATGGAGAGCACAAAGTTAAAAAGAAATTTGTTTAGTTTGGGGTATAGCCAACATTTTTTATGATAAACATGCATTCAAAACAACAGATGACGCTAGCGTTCTTGGTTTACGGAAAGAATCGCTAGAACAAATAAAGGCAGAACAATGGCAAAATTGTATTAGACATACGGAAGACATAATCGTTCAGTCTTTTCAAACCCAGCGAGTTGGCTTCTAATTATTCGGATAGACAATTCAGATAGTGACGACTCTGACAGTGAAATATCAAACAGTGAATAGGACAAATCGTTTGCTAAAAAGAAGTAACAAAAAAGTCCACAAGGAAAACAATTCCTGTAGCTGGCTGTATACCACGTATCACAAAAAAAGAGGTTAGTCTTCGTAAGTGGGTATATTTATTTAAAAACCCTTAAAAGGGCTACATCAAAAAACAAACGTTTTCGGACTAAACAGTCCATCATCAGGTTTAAAATCGCTAGGTTAAAATGCCTGAGCCACCAAAAATACATGGGTAAAAACCCTTTAAATTACATATAGTTATAAAAGATTATACATCTTGTTGTTAAAAAACTGTGATGTTCAGTATTAAATTAAATATGACTTCAGGTAACATACATTGTAAAAATTGAGTTCCAGAGCCAGGGAGAAAACCTCTACGCACGGAGAACAGCTTTTTTTTTATATATATAGCAAAAAAGTGTTTCGGGAATTCAATTCGGACTTTGTGGTAGGGTAAAAGGATTATACATAAGATATTCATATTACGTTGTTTTTTTTTTCATTTTATTAGACATGGATACATTTTTAAAAAGATCGTTAGAACCACCTACGTCTGGAAATGAAAATAATAAAGGGAAAAACAGCTTGTATAGTAATGAATATCCAATAAACTAGGAAATCTTTCACAATAATCTCTTGTAGTCTTTCATTTACATGAATGTGTTGTGACAGGCATACGTTAAACCATAAGACGCAAGAACAAAAATGTAGAAACGCAGACGAAGAGGTGGCAAGAGCCGTAGAAGTTGCCTTATATAATATAGTAAAGAAAAACTTTTAAGGAACGTAATTTTTAAGGAACGAGTAAAAAACCTTACCCTTCTTTTCGGTTCTTTTGATCGACTTCAACTGCATGTTTCTAAAACTCACTGCAAGTTGTCTGGAGCTTTGTTGGTATTCCATTGTGCCTATATTATTCAAAAGCTCTCCAGAACTTTCATTTTTACCTAGTTTGTCATTCTTTAAAAGCATATTCGCTTGCGATTCTGATATGATCGTAACTTTAACTTGCGGAGGCGTCATATGAACGTTCAGTTTTCCTCCAACCAAGAGGCGGACAGACGCGGTAAATCTGAAAACCAGCGAATTATAATTATATTTATTAATATACTAATTTAAAAAGAAAATAAAAAATAATACACAGTTTAACACTATACAAATTTAACGAAATAAATTCGGAACATACGAAATATTATGTATTTCGGCTCAATTCTGCTGTAGGTGGTTGACCAACAAAAGGTTGTCAAATAATTATATTATAAAAATCCAATACTTCAGCGGGCTGCTGGATTCTGAAATCATAAAAATTGAAAGCTACACATAAATCTACGATTTTATTATGCTGTCAAACCACTTATAGTCCAGGAAATGAAGCATTTCACCCCGCAATTTTTTCGTCCTGCGTGGATTGACTTGAAATTTTAACAGAAGGTAGGTAATAGTCAAGGATGAAAATCTATATCGAACCAAAGTGCGCCAAAGCCTTAGGGGTGGTTGCCACCCCATCTCGGGGGTGAAAATTTTTTTTACGTTTTAACTACAGGTTTCGATAAAAAAAGTGATTCCAAACTAAAAATGTTGTATACATTTTTTTTGTAAAATTAAGTTATTCGCGATTGAAAGTAACAACTTTTAGACGAAAAAATCGACGTTTTTAATCGATTTTTCGCGAATAACTCGAAAATGGTGCATTTTATCAAAAACATTGTAGAGAACAAATTTGTAGCTTTTAAAAAGACAAATACAATTAATTTTTTAAAATGTTTTTGCGATATAACAGGAACCGAAATACGGCCTATCAATGTTTAGCGGTTTTCTTCAAATGCCAAATTTGAAAGATTCAAAGTCAAATATCGGGAAAATGATGAATTTTTGGAAGAAAACTCACAGAACCTTTTTTTAAAGAGCATAAATAGACCTATCATAAAAAAAGACTCTAGCTCAAACATTGAGTGAGTTATGATAAAAATAAGGTCAATACATCATTTTTATACGAAAAAATCGATGAAAACAACCCCCTAACCACCCCCATAATTAAAATCGATCTTCACCCTTCTGCAATTCTCTTTGTACATGTATTGTTATTACGTCCAAGAAATTTGACCCATTTAAAATGCTTAGTTTTAGAAAAAGTACAGCATAAAGCGAGAAACGATTTACAATTTCATATTTTTTACCCTTCTTTTTTTAAATATCCCTGAAAATACTGAATATATGAAAAAAATAAAAATGTACTAAATTGTAGCTTTTTTAATGACTAAAATTTTCCTTTATTTAGATTTGTTGTACAATGAATATTTGGCGAGATATATAAAAGATTTAATTCACAGATCCTTGTAGCTCTTAAAATCATCTACAAAACCGTTTTTGAAGAAACACTCTATCGTTAAAAATGAAGGAAATAAGTTAAAAAAAGCAATTAATTTTTCTTCGGGAAAATTCCATTAGTATAGTACAGTACATTTCGGAGCATAATAATCTACAAAACCGGTTTATTAGGTAGTGGGGCGTTATACATTCGAAATTTTAAGCGTTCTTATTTTGAAATCCCATACAACAGAATAAAACATCTGCTCATATGTCTATGGCTTGGCAATGAAAATATCAGAGCAACAGATTGGGGATGGTATTCCAAATATGGTTTGTTATTACCCGTACGCATGAACAAACAACCTGCACCCGATGAACTTGTGTTGTTGTTGTTATAAATGTAAATATTTTTAACTATTTATGTAAATGTATAAGAATATATAGTGCCTTTTTATGTTGATAAATTTTTTTGTATTTAATTCTACTTTTTTCAATTTATATCTATTAAATTAATTTATAAAAACTACAATGTTATAAAGGGTGATATTCAAAAGTTGAAAAGTTGCAAAACTTTGACAAAAAATTGTTTTCACCTATAGCACTCATTACAATTGATTTTTAAGGGTTGAAAATGTATGAAATTGTATTTTAAAGTATAAAAAAATCACTATTTAACTAATCCAAACCAAATTTCACTCATCTTACGATTTGTAATGTTATTTTACAATTTTTGAAAATTAGAGGTAGTTTTCACCCCTAAGAACAATCGGGGTTCATCGGCATGACATAAACTATAAAACAGAGGGTGAGTTGAGCTTAATTCCAAATTTTTATCCAAATCGTTCCAAGGCGAAATCATTTTCTTCGCATTACTACTTTTTTTACATTAACCTCTAACAAGGGTCGCTTTTTAAGGGTTGAAATATGATGGAACTTTATTCAAAAGCACGAAACTATCATTATTTAATTAATTAAAACCAAATTTTACCCATATTCAGGTTTAATATGTTATTTTATAATTTTTGACAACTAGGGTAGTTTTCACCCCTAAGAACAATCAGGGTTCGTCGACATGACATAAACTATAAAGCAGTGGGTGAATTGAGCTTGAATCCAAATTTTTATCCAAATCAATCCAAAGCGAAATCATTTTTTAGAATTAGTAATTTTTTTACATTAATCTCTAACAAGGGTTGCTTTTTAAGGGTTGAAATATGATGGAACTCTATTCAAAAGTATAAAATAATTAATATTTAACTAATTCAAACGAAATCTTAGCCATATTCAGGTTTAATATGTTATTTTATAAATTTTTGACAATTAGGGGTAGTTTTCACCCCTAAAACCCTTCAGCGCACTTCGGTTAGATATAGATTTTGATCCTTATGCTATCACCTACCTTCTGTTAAAATTTCAACTCAATGCATGCAGAACGAAAAAATTGCGAAGTTTTAACTCTTTTCGAGCTTCATTTCCTGAACTATTATCGTTTCCTTTACGCAAACAACATTGCAACATTGTTGCGAGACAGATAGTTGAACGATATTTTATACAATGTCTATACCCAGGTATGGATTTATTTTTATCCAAGTTTTATATTGGTCCACTATTTCAAATGCAGTTCAAACAGACATATATTAAATTGTATGATCCGTTTTAAATTCGTTCAATCTGTATACCATAACATAATACACTATTATAAAGTTGGCTGCAAAAGTGTGATTCTTCCAAGCGAATTTGTTTTAAGCTTTAGAGAAGTACGACGTTTACATATTTACGCTTAATGTTTCGGCGAAGGAAATAATTTCTTCAACCCTGTGTGACTTTTTCTTAATTATAGGGTTTGGACTATTTAATATGTAACAAGATGATTAAGCATCTAAAAAGAGTGCTTTGAAAAATAACCTTTAAATTTTGGTTAAGTTTTTTAGTTATATATCTAGTAATTACGTTCAATCTTGTGGTTTGTGGTATTAGTAAGTTCTTTTTGTAGCAAACATTTTTTAGGTACCTTTATGAGTTCGTTATGCATGCTAGCTTATGAAATGGTGCTAATCTCAAGGACGTATTCAGCGAGGGGATAATCAGAAAATAAATGAATGTTTATTATATTTTTTTTACGGGAAATTAATTACAAATCTTGAAATACCTATTTTAATAATAAAAAATGCCTATTGAATTTTTGAGTTTGTTATTGTGGCTAGTTGTAGTGTAGAAATGGTGCTAACAGTAACGAAGCCTAGTGAGGTATAAAACTAGAAAATATGGTTAAGAGCGTAGGCGCAAAATTTTGGATCAATGCTTTTTAAATGCATTCATTTTTTTCGAATCTTGAGAAAACTAACAAATATTTTTGAAAAATTTAGACGCAGAATGAAAGATTACATTACTACCGGGGGCCGAAAGTCCCTTAGAATAAACAAAAAGTTTTTTGAATGAGATATTTGAAATTACAAATCACACTAAATTTTCTATTTTTTTTTTCACCCCTGTAACTTATGAAATTGAACATCATAGAAGTTTTCAGGGACTTTCGGCCCTCGGTAATAATGTATTCTTTCATTCTGCGTTTAAATTTTTCAAAAATATTCATTAGTTTTCTCAGGATTCGAAAAAAATGAATGCATTTAAAAAGCATTGGCCCGAAATTTTGCGCCTACGCTCTTAATAATTTTTTTTACTGTAATTTATTACAATTCTTGAAATAACCTACCTACTGAAAATTATTTAAATTAGATAATTTTTCATTATTTTATTGTCGATCAAAATTATGGTACAACGTAAACAATTGTTCTGGACCTAGTGGCTGGTAGAGGAATCTGTTAGCACATTAGCGAAATTCAAGATAAGGAAAGTCCTCTAGAAGAGAACACAGCTGGCAGCCAATTAAAGAAAAGACAGTCTAGAAGAGTCTTCACTCTTCGGTCTAATGATTTCCGCGCAAGGCGTCGCGGATAAATTTCTTAAAACAAGGTTTTTGCATCCTTCTTAAAAATTTTTCACTTAGCGTCCGAAAAAAATCTATCTCCAATTGTAACCTATCTCCTACTCATTTTTCACGTGATGTTAGGATGTCTCTCTGTGATATACCGTTTAGGAGTTGCTGTGTGAAAGAAGAAGCAGAACTAATTCCACCTTGATTTTTTTTCTACGTAGATGCATTGTATTCGTTAAACCCTATCACGTGACATATCGCGCAACCCTGTACGTTAAGGCGTTTAGCACTTGGCGCGTGAAAGAAGAAGAAGATTGGAAAAGGAGCCAAAAATGACCAGAATAGACCTTAGCGATTTCTTATGGGATTTAACATGGGAAAATATCCAGAACATACATAGAACTTTTACTGTTATAAAGCAGCAATATTACGGATGGGATAAAGCAACATTATTAGGGATGAGGAATAAGCAACATTAAGGATGGAGATCGTTAGAGATTTAGATACCCATTCTTAGGAAGAGGGGTCACTGCACTTCAACAAAAAATGGTATTGTTGACATAGAAAAAGCGTTTAACATAGCGTATTGTCGATGTAAAAGCATAAGATTAATTACGAGTTGCATACTATATTTTATCTACGACGAACAAGTAATTTACATCGTTACAGTAAATACACCGTTATTTAGAGCTGCTGTCAATAAAGTCACGATAGCGAATATGGTAACCAACATGATATCCAACGATCGATAACGGCCATGGAACTAGAAGAAGAAGAAACAAGTTGTTATTGTACTTCCGACACAGAATAATAAACAACCAGAACGCCCACTCTTCATTGAAAATTAAGTACGCGCAACTCGTTCGCGCAGACGTTCCGCCATGTTTTAGAGGGAACCAGTCTTGTTCAGATACATAATTAATGATAAATATAAACAATTACATAACCTCACACATCATAAATATGTCCATAAAGACCCATTATACCAAATGTGATTCTTAATCAGAGTCTGTGTTCTGTGTTTCCTTCTAAAACATGACGATCGCGTGCTGAAAAACTTCAAAGGTGGCATCTGAGAGTGGGCATTCTGATTGTTTATTATTCTGTGCTTCCGATCTCCGGATCATTCCAAGTTTCAATCACGAAACAATACTATAAAGTTGAACTGTGCAGAAGTTTCAGCAAAATTGGTTAATTCGTTCTCGAGAAATCATGCCTATCGCACAGGAAAACAAATTTTCGAGAAAAACGCGTTTGAATTTTTTAAACTTATTGCGCACGTCCGACCACGCCTATTTCAAATCTCTACAACTACAACAAAAAATAATCGTAAAATGTCACTGTGAATTAGTCATTCTTCTTATGCTTATTTGATGTATCCCTTGCTTAGAAGACAGCCAATTGATTATAGCTGGTTTTTTCCTGACTGTTTGTATTTACAGAACACAGAGGCACTTTTATACTGCACTGTCAGTTCAAAACAATAAAAATGTGGCAAAAAGTTTGCTGAACATGGTGACTCTGTTAACTCAAAATTCCTCAAAATTATTATTTAAGGTGAATTGATTGTTGATTTAATTAATTCATATTAAAAGAACTGCAAAGGACTAACAAGGAAATGATTTTTCAGAAAAAATAATTTACATACCTGGTATTTTTTTTCATAACTTGTGGAGGTTGTTTTTCGATGATAAAAGTCGAGGTGACTAGCGTTGACAGCAGCTGTGTAAACTCCTGGAGTAGATGTGGTAGCACATCGGCGACTACGGGCGGATCTACCATAGGTACTCTCTGTTTCAACCTTTCCACCTCTTTAGTTTGTTGCCGATTCAACCAAATTAATTCAGCCAAACTCTCGCACCTATAAAAATAATTATGATATAAAATTTCAAATTTCTGTAAAATTTGAAATCAATAAAACGAATTGCCTTACCACTCCTGTATAGTGTCTAAATTACTTTTGAAGTTCGCTCCATTTCCAGCCAATTGTTGATCTCGTTTCCATTTAATAAGTTCCTCGTCCAAAACATGCGTTTGCAACTGAGCCACTAATTGAAATGTTTCTTTTAGTTTTTCCCTAAAGCTAACTTCAACTGCAACAAAGCAGCCAACTTTTGGTTGAGACTGGCTTCTACTGCTTCCTTTTGTTTTTGAAGTTTTGTAGCATTATTGTTAGGTATTTGGGAGTTTTGTTGGGTGATCATCTGCTGTAAATGTGCTGAAAATATTTACTTATTAATAAAATAAAATAAAAAGACTATTATTTGTATACAGTTTTTAATTAGTACTTTTTAGAGTCAATACATAGACCACTAGGGATCTGTGAAAAAACGACTACATGAAAAAACGACTACATTTGGATGTGAAAGGTGGCAATCTAATACTGCAAATACTGAAAGAAACAAAACTATACACTGACTAAACTTCAACTGTTGCCGATAACCAACGTTGTTCAAACTATCGTTGAAATTTGTTTTCCAAAAACTGGTTCAATTTTTTTTTTCGAAAAAAATGTGAATCTGCTTGGTTAGCTTAAACAGTACGTAGTCAAAAAGTTACCATAATGTGATCATAGATGAAAGATAAAGACGTTAACAAAATAAAAACATGAATATATCACTCACCTGTAATTTTCTGACATTCGTGATATTGTAACGCAAACGACTCTAACTCTTCTTCCATTTTTCTTATGTCTTCTGCCGTACTCTACAAAAAGAAAGTAGAAAAAATTAAGAAGTGCACCAAAATAGGCTTCAAGATATCTCAAAAAAGATATGGGTAAGCCATAAAATAAAGCAGTGGCAGTAAACAGTGGATTAGATTGGCGCAAGGCAGAGATGGAAGCAATTGGAAGAAACCTACATCCAGGAGTGCTCTATTCCTCTACATTTCTGTTTGTGGACTTCAATGAGTCTCACAACTTGATATATTCGACATTGGCAAAACTTCAGGTTCTTCTTCCTCACGTTCAGAGTTAGGTATAGTTTCATGTATTTCTTCAATACAGTCGTTGATAGTCAAATTGTTCTAAATCCACTAATGTTTCTTTGATGGTGGAAAATATTTGTGTAAGTGGAATATTATCCTCTTATTCAAACCATTCGAATCTATATTACACAAATTCGGCTTTAGAAAAGCATGTTTTGATTATCATTGGCCATAAGCCACTGTAAACAACAAGGGATTGGACAAACGTCGATGCTCATGCACTCTTTAGAGCCACACAAGAACGAGAGGAGTATGCCAGAATTGTCGCCAACATCCACTAATTGGATAGGGCACCATAAGAAGAAGATAAGCCACTGTAATCCATATCAAGGTGTTCGTTATGGTACTGTTTTTCTCTATTTCTTGAAGAGGAGAACTACTGCCTATACAAGTTAAAAACTCTGAATAAAGTAGCTTCTATTGACCATTTCAAAATTCTGGATAATGCCTTGGTCCAAGGGTTGGCAATATGAGGTAGTATTGGGAGGAAGAAAAATAAGTTTAACATTATCGAATCCAATTTTGGAGTGAGATGTAGCATTATCCAGAAACAATATCACTTTTCTATTCTACTTTTTCATCTTCGTATCAAATTTGTGGAGCCACATCGTCATATTGTCGGTTATCATCCATGTCTTTTTGTTGGTGACTAATTAAGATTCAACTTATCATGTGTACCCCCTAAAAACATCGAGATTTTTGCTTGTGCCTATGATAAGAGGTTCCTTCTTTTCACCTTCCATATTTGCACAGAATAAAATTGTTGTTTTGCAGTTTTTTGCAGAAGTGAGGCATCTACACCCTCGAAGTTTTAATTCGATCTGATCCCCCATCCCGACTGCCAAATCGAAAGTAAAGTGAAAAGTTTCTCGCTGCCATGCTAATTCTCCTAACCTTCCTTTTTCCCGCCTGTTTTCATTCAGAAATAGATAAAGACTTAATTATAAATAAACATTTAAATTGTCCATGGAACCCACGAGTGCAAGATAAGAGAGGGAAATACCTATCAGAATGGATCCACGCCATGGGGCTTACCGTGCTAAATGACTGTAAGGCACCTACATTTGTGAGAGGTAATAGTGAATCCTTTTTGGACATCACACTGGCTTCAACGCCGTTTCTAAACAGGGTCATAAGCTGGACTGTTTTGGAAGAAGAATCGCTCAGCTTACACAAGTATGTGAGTTTTGAAATAGTGAGCAAAAGGTAGAAACGGAAAAATGGGGATATCATTCTAAAGAGATGTTTAAATGAGACGGTTTTTATAGATGCTTTTAGCTTGATTGGTCCGGAATGCGAGTGAGTTCATTGAGGGTCTAAGTGCTGCACATGAGTTAGCTTGTGTAAGATCAAATGGGAGGTATGAAAGAAAACAACTATACTGGTGGAACGTGCGGCTTGAAAATCTGAGGACAAATTGCATGAGAGTAAGAAGGTAGTGTAAGAGGTTAAGAAGAGTGCAAGCAGAAGATTTGGAAGAGAGAATGAATGAATTAAAGCGAATGCAGAATTAATACAGGAATGATATAAGAAGATCTAAGAGAGAAAGGTGGAGTAACCTGCTTCAGGGTCTCGAAAGGGATATCTGGGGCTTCAAGATTGTCTGTACCGAATTGAAGGTGAAAATGACACCCTACGCCCTACCTGAGGAGGAGAAACTCCGTTTAATACGGGAACTCTTTCCTCAGGTGGAGGATAGACGTGAAAGGGTTACTAGTATCGTAGAGGCGCAATTAGTTGGAACTCGGCGAGGCTGTTGGACCGATGAAGATCCGAAAGGCACCTGGCATAGACGGAGTCATAGGTACCGGAGACAGTAAGACTCGCCGCACTAAGATACCCGCAGGTTTCGTGAGATTTGCTAAACAAACTGCTTGAACAACAACAGTTTCCAACACTGTTGAAAGACGATAAAGTTGTCCGTATCAAGATAAAGGTGAAGAGGAAGAGGTACGATTTCGGCCAATTTGCCTTCTTAGTTCGGTAGCCAAATTGTACGAGCAGCACGTGAAAGGCCGCCTTGAGCAAGAGCTGGATAAAAAGCATGCGCTGAGCGAATGCCAATATGGTTTTGAGGCCAAAAGTCCACCATAGAGGTGGTCACAACACAAGTAACCTCTTTAGTCACGTAGGATGCAAAGAGATGGATGGCTCTCATCTTGCTTGACGTCAAGAATGCCTTTAACACGGCATCATGGGAAAAGATCATGTCCAGACTGAGAGAATTGTGAGTTAGTGAGTACTTGGTCAACGTAATTGACAGATAATTTACTGACAGATCCATAAGGAAAAAATTAGTAGCACCAGTTTGTCGCAGGGTTCAGTACTAGGTCCCACCATGTGGACTGTCCTGTACGACGGGGTGTTGAGGCTACAGATGCTAAGGGAATGCATTCTTTTTAGATGCAATTTGAAATATTAAATAAAGCCTTAGAGTAAATTTTTATGATACACAGAGTGGAAAATGTTACAAGATAACTATCATTCCTTCGTTTTAAATGATCAAAAATCATCGCTGCAAAAACAGCACTTCGTGAAAATTAAAAAACCAAAACAATTCTTACTCCATACAAACATTTATTTACCTGAGTTCTATTTCTTAAAACATTGATCTTTTGTAAAACTTCTGCACCGCTGTTTGATATCATTAGGTTTGAAAAACCATTGAAATTTCCCACACCGGCTGCTTGAAGTAGTCTCATTTCAGCGGCTAAACAGCTACGAATGAGGGTAAAGAGTTGCATTGGACAAGAACTGAAATAAATAATTTTAATTAATACTTGTTATTAAATTATTGTTCTAATAATTAGGTTTACAATCTAGATCAGACAACAGATCAGTAATTATGTTACAGAACATGAAATTATACAAACCTGTATCTTTCCTTAAATAATTTTGCGGCTTCAGCAAGTTTTAGTTTTGTAAGGAAATATTCTGAATCAGTTACAACTGATGCTTTGTCCTCTATCTCTTTGATTAAAGAGTTGATCAAGCTTGAAATGTACTGCTCATGTTGTGGATTGTCTGGATCAATATCACAACTGAAACAAATAACACTTTACGTTATTTTTTAATTATTAATAAAATTGTTCAATTCTATATAGAATAACTCTAAGAAATATTTAAATAACCAATAGAAGTCTATTGTCTTAGATGATATGCTAATCAATTTTTTTATTTTTTTTTATGAAAATAGAACAGGTCGCAGTAGCACACCGAAGATTTAGAGCACAGGACACAAAAACGACGGAATGAAATAAATGAAATTTTACAAAGAAAAACACAGCTTTTTTACAGAATTTTATGAAGAGTGCAATATATATCACCAGAGGGAAGGTTTTGGTGGTTCAATCTCCCCCCCCCCCATCCCCTCCCCGCTATTTCATGCCATCCACTACTGAGTCTTGATTTAAGGTCGATTCACACACATCAGTCACGTCACAGTCACGGTACCGAACCGGTCCTGTTTGGTCACAGAACTATCAACTATCTGACAGCTGGCAAACTGTTCGTCAACTGATGAGTGTGAATGCCGGCGCCATATTTGTATTAAAGAATATTTTGTATGACGGATTGTTCGATTCGGCGCAATCACTGTGACGAGATGGTGACGAGACGTGACTGATGTGTCTGAATCGACCTTTAGCCTGGAACCGACCAGCAGCAGTACCGGCTCACTTGTTACGTCATCTTTTCATTCTGCTAAATTTCATTCACTTAAACCTCTAAATGTCAAAATTTTAAAGGAGCCTTGGATTCCACCTAAAGAAAGTTTACCCTTTCTACAAAATGAAATTTGCTTTCAAATAAAATGCATGGAAAGATTCCCCTGCTTGTCATATTCTGAGTCAGTTTGCGTTGTAATGAGACGTTCGCTTGATGAAGGTAAGGGGCCCATTAGCGGCGCCGCCAGCTTGTAATCCACCCTTATTGCAAGTGTAAAAATGCACTAGAAATATTTGAAAATCATATAAAATCAGGATATCACACATGAAATTCGGAAATCGTAGATAACTTTCTAAAAGTGATGTCTTTTCAGTCGATGAGCAGAAAGGAATAATTTTTTGTGGCAAACAAGGTATACTTTTAAGAGATAAAACTGATTCAAAACGGAACCACATTATCTGATCATCAAAAATGGTTGCTTGCGATATACAAAGAGGCTTTGGAATGCTTAAAAAAATGCGACCAAAAACTATATCCAAATATTTACACATTGTTGCAAATAATGGCTATCATACATGTTTCCACTGCTACTACAGAAAGGACTGTTTAAGCCTAAGAAGACTTAAAAACTACTTGCGGAACACGAGTAAAAACAGACTCACATGATCATTCACCTATGGAATAGAAATTGAAGCAAATGCAGAAAAACAGAAGATTAATTCTGTAATGTCATTTTTTTGTAATAATTATCTTTTTTTATTAATTAACATACTATCCCACTGCTCTAAAAAGGACTATCCCAATTCCTTCCTAGAGTTTTTTTTTCTGTATCTATTTTGTATATCGTTAATATTTTTCTTATGAATATAGGGGTTATTTTATTAAGCGAGTGGTTTACCCCTAAATAGATGCTTACAACCATTGTTATTCGATTCTGTATATATATTTTCAATTACTATTTTAATGTTACTATTTTTGTTATAAGATCTTTAATTTGGTTTCATATTGAATAATAAATAAATAATATAGGTTTTATTAAAAAAAATTCAATAATTGACCGAAGAGAACAAAAAACAACTTAAAACGACTACAGCATATGCAAGGACTAACAAGGAAAATTTCCCCATCAGTCAACGTTTTGCGGGATCGTCATTTAACAGCGCCGGCGGTACAAACAAGAAATCAGCTTCAAGAGGTATGTGGCAATAATGTAGGTGTATTTACAGTTTGTCGAAGATTACATAAATTTGGTTTGCAAAGTTGTAGACCAGCAATTGGGCCCAAATTACTTCCACGGCACAGAGTGGGTAGACTACAATTTTTTAGAGAACATTTACATTGGAATTTAGGACAATGGAGTAATGTTCTTTTTACAGATGAATCGAGATACTGTCTTCACTCACCAGATGGAAGAGAACGAGTATGGCGTCAAGAGATTTGCGGAGTGCATTTTCAGTATTCACGTTAGCCATGGAGGGGTTCGGTGATGGCATGAGCAGGAATATCCCGAGAGGCGTACACTGAACTGGTATTTATTGAGGGTTTGTTGACTGCACACCGGTATATTGAGGAAATTTTAACGATTCATATAGTACCACATAGTATAATAAAATGAACTGGCCAGCGTGTTCGCCAGATCTGAACCCAATAGAGCACGTTTGGGATATGCTTGGTAGAAATATTAGAGGTCACTAAGTCGCACCAGCCTCAATTAAAGAACTTCGCTTGGCTCTAGAAGAGGAATGTCAAAACACCCAGCAAGATGATATTAGCAACCACATAGACAGCATGAGCCGACGTGTACAGATAGTTATAGAGGCTTGTGGAGGCAATACAAAGTATTAAGTTATTTTTAAGTTGTTTTTTTATTGTTATCATTATTTAAATTCAAAAATGTTATTGTTAATGTAAGTCAAATACAAAATTTTATTAAAACCTCACTTCACTAAATTAAAATTTATAAATTTTTACAGTGTGCTAAAAAAATCAACAAAATAGGGTTAAAAATAAAAATACTTTCAATTTGACCAAATTTTTTGTGTTGCATTTTTTTGCATCTGAGTGTAATAAGAAAAATAAACGGAAGGAAGCAAAATAGTGTAGTAAAAGAAGAAAATTTATGTATCATATGATACATATAAAATGTTGAAAGTAGCCAAAAATTACATTTTTTAATCGATATATAACAACAAAATTGAACCTATTTTTGCAATAAAAATAATGGAAAACTGTTTCCACAGTAACCAATTTTACAAACAAAATTTTCAAATATTATCATAGCTACTGTCGAAATTGTATTTTTTAGTTTATATTTGATCTTGCTTTTGGTGCAAATTGTGTAAATCTTCTTATCTTATCTGCTATAAAGATTATAGATATGAGTAGTTACATATTTTTAAAATGTTAACCATATCTTTCTTAACCCTTCACTTAAATCACAATAATATCACATACTTTCAGAATAATAATAATTCGCAATTTTAAATTTTTACTGATTAATATAAACAATATAGGGACAATGTACCTATTTATGAAGACATCATGGAAGCTATGGAAAGATATAAAATCAACAGTAATTATAGGTGACTTCAATGCCACACTGGTTAAAAAACTAAATCAGAAATAATACAAAATACGAAATTTCAATTACGATGAACAAAATGATAGAGGAAATATATTAATTAACTATATAAAGCAGTGGTCATAAGAAATAAATTGTATGAAGCCATGGATGAATTCCACATCCCCGATAAACTGATAAGATTGGTTAAGGCTACAATGCGTAAAGGTGTTTGCAAAGTCGAAATACAGGGTAAACATACAACATTGTTGGGCTGTGACAGGGAGATGCGCTGGCTTGTCTCCTTTTCAACATAGCTCTGGAGCAGGCAGTCAGGGATGCACAAATAGACAACATAGGAAACATTTTTAATAAATCATCCCAAATTGTCACCACATTGTCAAACGCCTCAAAAAATATGAGCCTGAAAGTAAATGAGGAGAAAACTAAGATAATGCAACACCCAATAATAGAGCCAGAAACATCAGCCACCAATTAATGGTTGATAATTCTACCTTTGAATAGGTGAACAAATTCACATACTCCCTGATGACCAAGGACAGAAGAAATCAAGCGAAGAATAGTCCTAGCAAACAAATGCTATTTGGGATTGAGTTGACATATGAGAAGCAGAAATTAAACCAAAAAACAAAAATACAAAACCCTTATACAACTAGTGTTGACATATGCATCAGAGACATTAGCCATTTCTAAGGCAGATGAAAACCTCCTACTTATATTGAAACGAAGGATCCTGAGAAGAATATTTGGTGGCATCTGTGAAAATGGTGTTTGGAGAAGGAGATGCAACTACGAGATATATCACAGATATAAAGATATATTTGGTGGTAAAGACATAGTATCTCTTATAAAAATAGGAAGACTAAGATCCACCTAGAAGAATCCTTACGTCACAACCTGTGGGAAGTAGAAGTAGGGGTAGGCCAAAACTCAGGTGCAGCAAACTGGTAATGGATAGAACTGACTGGCGTAATAGACTTGGGAAGGTTGAGGCTCTTTTATAGGGCTGTAGCACCAATGATGATGATGAAAGCAGTGGTCAGCAAACTACAGCCATTTGCAACTTTCTGCATGGCCTGCCAAAGCCCCAATATAATTTTAGGAAATATCTCCAACATCCAGATCTCTACTGTAGGATGTACATATCTACAAATTATTATTTATGCACAATATCGTCCTATCTTGAGAACTAAGTACAGTCATAACATGAAATTTTTGTATTTATACCAAAATAGTACAGTGAAAATAATCTAACTTGTTTTGGCAGAATTAGATTATTACAAATAATAAAATATTATTTTATTTTAATAGACAACTAAACATATCTGTTTTTTGCTGAATATAAGTGTCATTATTGGAGTTAGTTTTTTTTGTTTTGTCCATACATTCTTTGAGAAATTTTAAGTCCAAATAAGTACTTAACTCAAAATCAACAAAAAAATTGGAGTTGGCTGGTTTTGTCTGTAAGCCTACAATATATTTGTGGTGTTTCCGTCACTGTAATTAAAATTTTCAAGACTGTACTGTAACATTAAAATATATATTTAATATTGTAAGTAGTTGAAACATCTGAAATTGTTTTATAATTGCAGACTGTTAAAACCAAGAATTTATCATTATTAGTCCCAGGTGGATAAACCCAGGATTTTACATAAAGTTTTATTGACACTTCAAGGTCAGGAAATAACAAATACAAATTATTATGTACTGTACTGGCTGGTACAGACATCTGTACATTTTAGATACTAAATAGTGCAAAAGCAGCGTAATATCTATAAAAATTAAACTCTTTCACAGATTGCAATGTGAGACCAAACTATGTTTTCATTGCATGTACCTGAACACATAATATTTATTTTTGCATGTGTAATTTGTCGATTGATCGATTCTGACCCCACTAACTGTTCCTATTTTCTTATATAATAGAAAATTCCATATTATGTAATTACTATTATAAAATTCATATATTTTTTATACATATTTAATATTTGTATGATAATGATATAATAATTGAAACATGTCATGTATTTTGTTAGCATGTTTAACACTCTTATGTTTGTGTTAAAATTTGATTTATTCAGAACAGACCAAAATCTCCAAATTTATGAATCATTATTAAAATATTAAAGATTAAAAAAAAACAATGTTTACCAAAACTTTTCTTCAATGTAATGAGCTAGATAGTGCCTCACTTCAATCGGAAATACATCGCCATAAATTTGTTGTAGACTCCCTGGTGGAAGTTGTTGTACTTTAGCCCAGAGTGACATCTTGTCTGTTCTGAAATGAAAAAAAAATACATAAAACAAACCTCCTCAAATTGTTGAAATGTATAACATTTGAAAATATATCAGTTTCATAGATATGAAATTATCCAATGCTATTTATCGATGAGCCTAACCCATATTATTTACATATTACTTGTTTAAATATTGCATAGGTGCACACAATAATTATTTGTTTACATAAACGTTTATCTATAAAATGGTATGTTAAAATTAACGTTCAAACTGGAAGTAGTTCTACAACATTGTGTTATTAAGAATCGTGTAATTTCATATTTTAGTTAGTAATAAATAAAAATAAATGCAATAATAAACCTACCACCACATACCAACAAACCAAAACGGCAATTAACCTAGCGAATATAGATAGACACAAAAAACAGCACTGACTGACTACTGACAGTGACAGCAAAGAATATAGACGCTATATTCTTTGGTGACAGCCTACTGACGAATGAAATGACGAGACGATACAAGATACAGTGACAGAGAACCAATGACGTATAATTACGTCATTGCAGAAAACTAATGAACACAGTGTCATTGTGTTGGTGTTCGCAAGACACAACACAACTAAAAATATGCGACGTTGCCCGATTGTGGCAAATATACTGGATAAAGGATAGGCAAAAGAACAAACATTAAAACTACAGAACAAGAAATATTATTTTTTACTTTTCGGTAAAATTTAAGACTTAAACAAAGATATAAATTATCTACAATAGTCTGGAAGTAAAGTTATAGTTTTTTTAAGAAACCCTTACATTGTACCATTGATTATAAACCACTACCAGTAGTGGTTTATAATCAATGATTGTACATATCTTCTTGAGGTTGTCGGAAAACAAAATTATGTCGTCTGCGAATTTCAAATTTGTTAATCTTCTACCGTCAATGTTCAGGCCTTTCTCATCCCAGTTAAGTTTTTTACAAGCATATTCTAGTACTGCGGGGAATTAATCGTTATGAAAAGGAGACCAAAAAAGTGGCCTCTGATGGCGGACATATCCGGAAATGCAAAGGCGCTAAATTTAAATTTTCCGACACTTATTAACAATAGCTATAAAATATTTTTCAGACGAGAAAGTTTTAATTAAATATTAACTATAGGTTTGTTTCTGCAGTAGTTGGAAACGGTTTTACAACGCTCGAGTTTGCGCAGTAAAATAATTGTGTTCGTGCAGGTTTAATTTCAAACTCCAACTATTTGGTCAGATGTTCTTGCAGATTTGTCGACCGTTTTCAAATCGTTTTCAAATAGTCATTCTGGTTTGAAGATTATTTTCCAACTAATAGTTTGACCAAGTTTGACGCAGGCGTACTAAGTATAAATAAATACGGTTTCTTATTCTTAACCTGTAAATATAAAATATATTGTAAATATTTTTCACTTATATTGAAGTTACATTGAACTGATTATTTATTGGTTATTTTTCAATTCCAACGTTTGGTGTATTTACATTGATTATTCTTTATTGAATAAATTTTTGGACTAAATATCCAACATGGTAATTATACGTGATATAACTATGATTAAATAACTTATGAAGTAAAAAAAATATATTTCAGGAATCATCTGAAAGTTCTTCTTCTGATGAAGAGGTGTTTGATATTGAAGAATTGTCGTCGGATGAAGATTTGTTACAAATTCTAGATGAACGTATAAGGCCTAAAAATAAGAATTATATTGAAGAAACGGTGTCAAGTTACAACGATTGTGAATTTATTGAACACTTTCGTGTTAGTCGTGCGGTTGCTGAAGATATTGCGAACCACTTCAGAAATTCACAATATTTTCATTATCAAGCGGGAGGCAATGGAAAGCTTGGAGAATATGAACAAACATTAATATATTTATGGTTCATTGGTCACCAGACTGCATCATTCAGAGATGTAACTGATAGATTCGATATTGCTATCAGCACTCTTTTTAAATTAATTAGAAAGTTGACATATTTCCTGAGCAATATGGCCCCTCAAGTAATTAAATGGCCATCAGGTGAAGAGAAAATAGAAATTGAGAGAAACTTTAGGCAAAACAATTTTCCAGGTGACATTGGGGTAATTGATGGGAGTCACATTAAAATAGACAAACCAACAAATGATCCAGACTCATACTTAAATAGAAAACATTATTATTCTATTCAGGTAATCACATACTAATACATATCTTGTAAACTTAAAAACTGACTAGAATTTTTATATATATTTTTAGTTGCAAGTAGTTTGTGACCACCAAAGAAGAATAAGGGACTTATTTGTCGGTTATCCAGGATCAGTACATGACAGCAGAGTTTTCAGAACTTCACCATTAGCTGAGACTATAGTTGTAAAGTGTGCAGATTATTTTATTTTAGGGGATAGTGGTTATCCATGTTTGCCCAATCTCCTAACTCCTTTTAAAGATAGAGGTAACTTAACACGAAGACAGTTAAATTACAACATGAAATTAAGCAAAAATAGATATGTAGTTGAACACTGTTTTGGTCTACTTAAGCAGAAATTCCGTCAGTTGTATCATGTAAAATTAAGAGCTGTACCAGATATAATACATTTTATAAGAGCATGTTGTGTTCTTCATAATATGACAATCGAAGACCAATTTGAATATGAGGCGGAGAATATTGATGAAAATATTTTACCATTTAATTTGGACATTGATGAGAACCATGCAGACAGAAATGGAATGGAAAAAAGAAATGAAATCATGAATTTGTTACCTATGTAAATAAATCATGTTCATTACAAATTTTTTTTAATATTCTGAAATATTTTAATCTCTTCAATATAGACTGTAAAACATGTATTATTTAAAGTATGATGTATTTAAAACATATTTTAAGTTTATATATGTATATAGATACACATGAGTTAATATGTGTATATTCTTTTTATTTGTTACACATTCAATTTGTAGAAAATAAAAATATAACTCTGATAATTTTTTATTAAAAAGACCTGTTACAAACTTAACCTTTCCTAAAAATTAAAGTATTTATTTACTTTCCTAAAGTAAAAATTTACAAAGTACAAATTTACTTTCCTAAAAATTAAAGTATTTCAGTCGGGTAAAGATTCTTTTAATACTTTGATAAATATTTGCTAAGTATTTCGTTCGTCTTCTCTCTCAGTTTATTTTGTTTTCTTATTTCTAAAAGTCTTTCTTCTTCAAACAGTTTCTTTATTTGGTTTTTTTCTTTGATCACTTCTAATCTTTCTTTGTGAATTTTTAGCAGTTCTGTATAAAATTCCTTTTTGTCTTCACACATCTTTTGGAGAATATTGTTTTTGCAAACTGGTTTTTCTCTCTTTCTTTTAAATGATTTTGGTGTAGAACTAAGAACATTGGCTTTAGCTGTTGCTACATCTTCAGGCTTTTCATCTATGTGATGTGCTACTGTTTCATTAGATAACAGCAATTCAGGATTGACATTTCTTTTTTGCCCAAATATCTCATCTAGTTCATTACTATATTCAAATGTTTTGCGGCCTCTTCCTGTTTTTTTACTCTCATCTATATACACTCCGCCAAAAAAGTATCGCATCACCTATGAAACTGCAAATTTTGGATTAAAAATAATTTAAAACATGAATTGTGTACTGTTGTTTTTTGTTATTTTTTAAGTACATAACAAGTATTAAAAGAAAAATGAAGAATGTACGAAAAATAAAGGTTTTATTTAATTTATTTCATAAATTAGAAGTAAGCGCACAAACAGCATTGAATAATAAAAAATCAAAATCAAAATTAATGATAATTTAGTAAGACGTATTGCCTCCTCTAGCTCTTATAACATCTAAACAACGTTGTGGCATACTTCCAATTAATCTTCTTAGATAATCTGGATCGATATTGTCCCATTCTATGGTTAACAACCGTTGCAGGTCCTGAAGATTAGCTGGCGTCACATTACCAGATCTCACCCTTCTGTAAAGATGGTCCCAAACATGTTCTATTGGATTTAAGTCTGGGCTGTGCGCTGGCCAATTCAAAACTTGTAAATTTACCTCTTGAAGGTACTCGGTAACGATTCTTGCGACGTGTGGGCGTGCATTGTCATGCATTAAAACAAAGTCATTACCAATAAATGGGGCGTAAGGAACAACATGCATCTCTAAAATGTCTCTAATGTACCTATCAGCAGTTAAGGATCCTCCATCTAGCTGTACCAATTCGGTTTGACCCCTAAGAGATATTCCACCCCAGAGCATAATAGATCCTCCTCCAAAGTTTGTCGCCAATCTTAGATTGCATTGAAAATAACGCTCGCCATCTCGTCTATAAACTGGTATTCTTCGATCCGAAGTGTATAAACAAAATCTTGACTCATCCGTAAAGAGTATGTTACCCCAGTCGTTGATATTCCAGTTTACGTGCTCTCTTGCAAATGTTAGACGTGCTATACGGTGTTCCCTTGTAAGTCTCGGTACAGTGGCAGCTACTCTGGCCCTAATTCCAGACTCTCTTAAGATGTGCCTAACAGTTTCTGAAGACACACGTACATTTCGAGTCTCGGCTAAAGCATGTTGAAGTTGACTCGCAGTCACATGCCTTCGACGTAAAGCCTGAAGTACTAAAAATCTATTGTCCACATGCGTAGTTGCTCTTGGTCGACCTGATACAGCTCGTCTTTCATAAAGACCAGTCTCTCGGTACCTTACTACCACTCGTGATACTGTCGACTGATTTACACTCACTAAATTTGCCACATACCTCTGACTCCTTCCATCTTCAATGAGGGAAATTATTCTAACCACTTGATCTCTCGTTAAATTTAAATTTATATTGTCGCGACCTTCCATACTCAATATTTAATACGAAATTTTAAATTAAAGGCAAACTGTATACTTTTTACAAAACTAAAATAAACACTGATAATATAAAAACCGGACAAAATAGCAATTAACATTTTTTTTCTTAAACAATAAACTGTATTTACAAATTTCTTCTTCATATTTATTCTAGCCTTAATATTCTTATAGGCCAGAAAGAAATTATTTAAATTAACCAAATGCTGTCAGAAATATTTGTAATTTTATAAGTGATGCAATACTTTTTTGGCGGAGTATATTTCTTATAATTTCTTTCAATTACTCGCCATCTATTTTCGCAGTGACATGCATTCAAATTAAGATTATGTAAGTTATTTAGTTGTTCTGCTACCTTTGCCCACATAATTTTCATGGATTTCATTTGTAAACTCCCTACCCTATCTCTGTATTTTTTATAAAAATCTATTAATGACAGTGTCTGGTTGTGGGTCCAAGATATACTGACTGAAACACTTGTCGATGGGCTTTGGTTTACAATTATAAACTCTTGTAAATCTGAAACAAATGTAACCTTTAAATGCCGTTTAGAAATGTGTTTCATTATTTTGTTAAAATTTCACTTTAGACGAAGTTATTGTTTTGAAAAAAAGTAAGTAGTACTTACCTTCCATATTAGAAATCTATTTGTTTGATTACAAAAATTGTGAATCTCGATATGAACCAAAAATATTAGGTTAGGTTAGATTAATTTAATTTCGATAATCAGCAAATCGTTCGTGCAGCATAAATTTTGACAACGGTCAGAAAACAGTCTAATTTCACGTCTGCGCAGAATGCATAGTTTGCAAACGGTAAGCAAACCACTGCAGAAACAAACCTATAAGGCCTATAATAGTCTAAAAAGTGACACAATAGGTAAAAGATTTCAATATAAATAAAATTTCATGTGACAGTTGGGACAAACAATAACATAACCTAACTAAATTTGACTTCTTAAACAAGGAAAGAGACTGTCTATCCTTGTCTAAAGTGGCCTCTCAAGATGGCACTTCCTGTCTATCAATATGTTTACCCCCACTACCTTTACATTCCCTCTTTTGTCTTATTGCTCGATGGGTATCACCCTATAGGACTCCTCTGCGGATTGGGGTATGATCTGTGTTTTCATGTAGTTTCATTGACATAGTTGCGTTCTTGTATATATTGTAAATTAACCTTGTAGAAATTATCCTTCTATATCGGTAGTTAATGCGGCATGCTTGTAGTGCTTCCAGCATTTTGTCAAATTCTACCGTATCAAAGGCTTTATGGCAAGCTACAAAAGCCAGAACGAGTGGTCGATAGTCTTTTCTATTACCGTTTTAATGCTCTGTTGGTGATCATTTGTTCCAAATCCGGTACGAAATCCCGCTTACTCTATTGGCTAGTAGAAATCAAGTTTTTTCTCAAGACGATTCGTTACTGTTCTTGTAAGGAGTTTATATAGGTGACTAAGAAGACTTATAGGCTTGTAGTTTTCTAATTCATGGGGTTCTCTTTTCTCTGGGTTCCATTTTTTTAATTTGTTGAAATCTATTAACCTCCACTCTGTTACCTTGTTCCCTTAATGCTGCTTCCTTATTCGAAGCAATTTCCAAAAAACTTGCAAACTTCTTGAAGGACTTTCTTCACAAAGCCTATCTAGTATTGGCCCTGGCCTCATGCCTACCACAAACTTATCCTGGACCCGGTATAACAATTTGTCCCCAAAATCGCATTGTGCTGCCTGGTTTTTAATTTTCAGATACCAATCATTAACTGACTCTTGTCCTTGTCTTAATAGGTCAAAAATTATCCTCCTTCGGTACACTGACAATCTAGGCTTAAAATGGGTACTTAAATGTTTCATTAGTGTTTCAAAATCTTTCTCCTTGGGCTTCTCTGGGTTACACAGGTCTCTTAAAACTTTATAAACCTCCTCACTCAGTAATGTGATTAAAACAGCAACCCTTCTAGATTCCTCAATTAAATTTGCACCAAAATACTGCTCTAAACGTTCCTTAAAAACTTCAAAATAGTCACCCTGTTTAAAATGGCTAATGAAGATACACCGCCCGTATTTACTACGTTAAGAATTGGTTGGTAACCCATGACACTATCTTCATTTCTAGACATTTTGAACTATTAAAATGTTTCATCATCATCAGTGGTGCTACAGCTCTAGTTGAGCCTTGACCTTCCCCAGTCTATTTCGCCAGTCGTTTCTGTTCATCGCCAACCGTTGCCAATTTGCCGCGCCGATTTTCCTTGCGTCCTCGTCCACACCGTCCCTCCATCTCAGTCGTGGTCTGCCTCTACTCCTATTTCCCACTGGGACCGATAATAGAGTTCGTCTGGGTGGGTAATTTTCATTTGCTCTTGACACATGTCCAGCCCATCTAAGCCTGCCTATTTTTATGAAGGATATTACATCTCTACCATTTACTATTTTTTTATATTTCTCGTACAATTCGAAATTATATCGCCTTCTCCAAATACCATTCTCACAGAATGCGCCCATTATTCTTCTTAGTATCTTCCTTTCGAAGACAAGCAGAAGATTTGCGTCTGTTTTGGAGATGGTCCATGTTTCTGACCCATATGTCAGCACTGGTAGGTTGAGTGTTCGATATATTATTAGTTTGGTTTTCTGGCTTAAGTTTCTGTTTTTTAGCTGCTTGCTTAGTCCAAAATAACATTTGTTTGCTAGCAGTACCCTCCGTTTAACTTCTTCAGATGTGTCATTATCGTTTAAATGTTTATTTCTTTAAAATATCTGTTCAATTATTTTCCTCGTCGCCAAATAATTGTTATATAGTAATAATAAATGGTAGATGGCTCAAATAAACATATATTTCAAAAGAACGTTTTACAAATTACAAAACAGGTGCATTACACTCAAATTGCTAATTGTCATATATAGGTTATGTCCTCAAATACATTGTGACTTGACAAATAACAGTACAAATTCTTCTTATTCTTCAAACATGAATATCTTACATTTTTAATTTTTTTTATTTTCTTAAGTAGGCAAGTGTCTCGGATTTTGATTGCATCAGTACCTACACAATATTCGTCTGGAGATTTGTTATTCTTAGCTTTTCTTAGGGCTAGTTTTATTTCGTCCATTGTGATTTCCGGTAGTATTTCTGATCCTTGGTTGACAATGCCCTTTTGCCTTGTTAGTATTTCTGGCACTTGATCTTCTCTGCTATTTGTTTTGTATATACTTGTGTACAGCAAGTTGTAGAAGTTTTCAACTATTTTAAGTTTTTCCTCTCTGTTGGTTGTAAGATGACCATTTCTATCTTTAATCTTTATTATCTGCCTTGTCCCCATTCTTAGTCTTTTTCTCAATACGTTCATACTTCTATTGTTCTCAATGGTATGTTCGATTTGTTCTTGGATATGTAATTTTTGTATTTCGTCGGCTTTAGTTTCCGTCTCGTTTCTATTCTTTTCTGCAATAGTTGCCTAGTATTTTGGCTAATCTTCTCTTCTTTTTGAGTTCTAAGAATTTGTTCTGGCTTTCCAGTAAAGCATTTGTTAATTTATTATTTAAGTCGTTTATATTATTTTGTGTTTCAGGACTACTAAGTATGTAGGAAATACATTGCTGAAAATTATCTACATCTGATGGTTTCATCCATGGTTTTGATTTGTTTTTCTTTTTAATCATCTTATACTTCTCCTTTAAGCTTATTTCTATTTTACCTCGTACCATTCTATGAATGCTACTGGTAACGAATATGTTTAGAACCGTGATGTCTTTAACGGTGTGATTTTTGTCCGTGATAATAAAATCTATTTCGTTTTGAGTTTTTCCATTAGGACTTTGCCATGTCAATCTTTTTTTTTTTGAAAAAAACTGTTCATTTGGAATAGTTTATGTTGCAGCATGAACCTTAACAGTTTCCCAGTGATGTTTCTGTAGGGTTTGACTTCATTCCTGTTTTGGCGTTAAAATCACCGCATATAAAAGTAAAATGTCCTTGATGGTCTTTAAGAGCAGCTTCGATATCATCATAGAATAGATCCATTTCTTCTTCATTATGGTCTGTTGTTAGTGCATAAACCTGTACTATTTTCATATTATACGTTGTATTCAATTTGAGAGTAAGAAATAAAATATTCAAAATGAAAATAGGTAAGTAACGTTATTTATACTTAGGGTGACCATATGTACTTTTTTTAGTAGGACAGTACTTTTTTTTCAATCGGTGTCCTATTGTACTTTAAAATTTATGAAGTACACCTAAATGTACTCTTTTTCTGAATTACACAAAATTAAGTCTAACATTTTGTCCAAACAAAATATAATTATGATTCGAATTGATGCGCTCACTGTTAATTAGTCATTAACCTTTTGTCTTAAATTCCGACACTTTTTCTCGTTTTTTATATTATTTTGTGCTGTGTGGAAAAATAAACAATTTCATCATGTCACCGCCTAGAAGAAAATGCCATTTTAACGTCGAGTTGCAAGCAGAGTATCCTTTTATGAAACAAAAATCAAATGTTTCACCGCGTATTGTGTTTTGCCAAGTTTGTAAAAGTGATGTTAATATTTCTAACAGTAGTCGCAGTAATATCAAACAACATTTGTCAAAGAAAAAACACTTGTTGGCTACTAATGCAAACTCGAAGAGCAGCAAATTGGAAACCTTTGTTAAAAAAGAAAATTTAAGTTCTGAAAATATGTTGATTGCTGCCAAGGAATGAACTTTTGCTTACCATAAAATTAAGCATTTGCAAAGTTTCAGATCCTTAGACTGCACGTCAAAACTAATTGTAAGCATGTTTGAACCTAAATTTGCGGCAGCTCGAACCAAGACTGAGGCGATTGTAAAAAATGTTTTAGCTCAACAGGCTCAATCCAAATTAGAAATTGACCTTCGAAAAACAAATTTCGTCAGCATCACAATCTATTCGTCGAATCATAGAGAAATTAAAGTTGTGAACTTAATGGTAAGATATTTTGATGGAGAAATTGGCGTCCAAGTAAAATTACTTCAGCTACGTGACTTACCTGGTGAAAAATCAGAACAGTTAAAAGATTACGTGGTCAATGTTTTGAACCACCATCATTTACTATAAAAATTCATCGGAATGTCTGCTGATAATACAAATATAAATTTTGGTGAAATGAGAAAAAAAAGGAGTGAACAATCTATTCAGCAAATTAAATGCTTCTCGTGGTAAACCCGTGATTGGAATTGGTTGTGTGGCACACATTTTTAATAACTGTTTACAAAATGCGACGGTCGTCTTACCGTCATATAGACATCGAGGTTATTGCGGTCAAGATTTTTAAGTATTTCTATATTTTTACAGTCAGAGTGGAGAAATTAAAACAGTTTTGCGATTTTGTTGATATCGAGTACAAAAAATGTTGTCGTTTTCAAAAACAAGATTTTTGAGCCTAATGCCAGTCATTGAACCAATTATACAGATGTTCGAACCCTTGAAAGCATATTTTTTGTCGATTGATAATTGTCCAACAGTTCTAAAACAGTTTTTTCAAAACCCAATCAGTGAAACAAGGATGTGGTTTGTGCATAACATTGCGTCTCTCTTCCACAAAGTGATTTTAGATGTAGGTGACAAAATATGCGCAACGGAAGCCGCTTTGGAGTATTTCAAACTCATAAATAAGCTTCAAAATCGCTTAAATAACTTATTTTTACCGCTTAAAGTATAAGAGTCCCTTTCAAAACTTGAAAATATGGAAGACCTTGACCTTAGTGTGAACTATCGGGATATCTTTATCAGGCATGTCAAGCAGTTCTATTCAAATTGTGTAACATACTTGAAAAACTGGAGTGAAAATTTAAGTGAACTAAAGCTATGTGGATGAGTTAACTTGAAAAAACAAGTTTCTTGGGCTGAAATTTTATCGTCGTGTGAGGCTTTCAAAGACTACATAGGTCCGATATTGAATCAGGACGAACTGTTTAATGAAGTTAGTCTAATACGAACCTACGTTACAGAAAATAAAATCACAGACTGGAATTTGAAAAATATTTCTACCGAAGATCGATGGCTCGAAATCTTCCAAAAATAAAGGGCTTTGAAAAATCTCAAAATTCTATGCAAGTTTGTTTTTTGTCTGCCGGGACCAGTGCGTCGATTGAGCGGTTGCTTTCAAATATCAATAATTGTTGGAGTCATCATGTGTTCAACTGGAAGCCATCATGCAAGTCTACACAAACTTCAAAGTTTCGTGTAATGAAATGTTTCAGTTCTTAAAGAGTAAACCACAACTTCTGAAGGAAATTCATAGTTCCAAAAAGTACGACTGGTACCAAAATGATGATCAAGATGTTCAGAAAGGAACGTCGAAAGAAAATTAACTATTAAAATTTATCATACATTTTTTATGTACTTATATTTGATTAAAAAAATCGTTTTTATCATTGTTTCATTAAAGATTCGTAAAATTTTGACCAGAAAAATTTCCTAGGGCACTAACAGTGTACATATTTTCTTAAAAATTATAAATGTACTTTTTTTTTGTTGAAAAATTATGGTCACCCTATTTATACTATTAAATAGTTCTCTTCTGTATTTTAGAAAATTTAATAGTTGAATTCAACATTCAATTAAACGTTCAATTGAATTTAACAATATATTGACGATATATATCCAGATGTTGCTTGATTTTTGTCATTAATTCTGCTTTGGCTGTATCCTCTGTAAATGGAATGCATTTTTTTCGTAGTCAGCTCCTGACCGCGTTAACAATCTTGGCGGTTATACACACAGTTTTTTCAACTAAAGTATTTACTAATCTTTTTTGAGAATGATTTCCGGAGTGAAAATCGACAAGTCAAATATTTTAGGTAAAATGTAATTGTCATTACAATCATTTACGATTCATTCAAAGGTTAGTGTAAGGATTTATCAAATAAAAATTTTATAAAAATAATCAACTTATATTACTATTTCAGCACTTTCTAGTATTCATAATAAATAACCATTAATTACCAACGTTGCAACACGCCGTTAAGAACGTTTTTCTCCAGTGTGAAACCTCATATGCTTGTTTAATTGATCGACTGTTAAAAACTCCTCTAGACAAATTTGGCACTCGAAACGCGTTTCTTCGTTATGCGATAGCATATGATTGTTTAAATCATCTTTTTCGGAAAACTTCTCAGAACAAATCTTACATTTTAAAACGTGTGTTCCTTTATGATACTTTAAAGCGGGTTTTCCACTAAATGATTTAGAACATATATCACAACTAAAATTTTTCTCTCCTGTGTGCGTTCGTAAATGGCATTGTAAACCGGCTTTCATAGAAAATTTCTTAGAACAAGTATAGCACTGAAATGGTTTGTCCTCATTGTGAACAACTCGTATATGATTTTTTAGAACAGTCATCCTCATAAATCTTTTTGAACAAAGGTCACATTTAAAAGCTTTTTCCCCAGAATGCCACTCCATATGACCCTTCAAACTAAGCTTGTGTAAAAACCTCTTCGGACAAATTTCACACTTAAAAGGTTTCCGTCCACGATGTCGATTCATATGACTGTTCCACGTAGTCCAGTACGAAAACTTCTCTAAACAAATTTTACATTTATAACGTTTTTCCCCAGTGTGATATCTCATATGATTATCTAAGTTAGTTTTAATTAAAAATTGCTTAGAACAATATATACACTTTAAACTTTTTTTTTCTTTATGGATTCGCATATGATTCCTAAAAGACTGTAAGCTTAAGAATTGCTTATTACAAACATCGCATTGAAAATGGTTTTCATCGGTGACAGAAGGGTTGTACTCTTCTTCTAAATAATTTTCTTGAAGAAACTCTGAAATCAAAATTTTTCTTTTATTAATTAGTATACATCAAATCTAATCATTGTTTACTTAAAATCATGGCCGTATTTCCCATAAGACCGTAGCCTAGAGCGGTCAATTTTCAAACATTGATATAAAAATCTATTTATAAATGTAAAATGTCAAGAGAAAAAACCAAATAAAAATATAAACATCAATACTATAATAAGTTGCAAATACTTTAGTGTAAAGACAGTTTTACATTATGCTATTTTCATGCTAGGCAAGAGCCATGCAAGACAGATCATGGAACTGCGCATTCCCACGGGCTATTTCCATGCAATTCTTGTGCTAGACGAAAAATTAGAACATGTTCTATTTTTCATGCTATTTTCTTGCAATTTATCGTTAATATTCATGTTGCCAACATAACAATTTATAATAGATTACAGAATACCCCCTCTGTGGCTCAGTGGTAAGAGCGCCTGCCTTTAAACCTAAAGGTCGTGAGTTCGAATCCCACCTGGGTGGAAGTTTTCGTTTATTAAAAAAATTAATAAATGAAAATAATTTCTATCCTTGTGTGATCGGTACACACCGGAGGGACCGCAGACGTTCGGATACAATTAGCGTCTCTTAGCAAAGACAATGACGCCGACTTTGCTAAGTATCAAGACAATTACTCTACACACACACACACTACACCTAAAATTGTAAGATTGGCGAATGGATTTAGTGTCCGCAGTCATTTAAACACAAACAAACAACAACAACAATAGATTACAGAATAAAACATAACCTTATCCCTATCTTTAGCGTCCCTTAGCCCACGTGTGTATTGTTGTGTTTTGATTTAAATTAAGTTTATTAAGTGGTGATAAATAGATATACTATGTCTAAAGTTAATGTAAAAACGACTGGGTGAGTCGTTGACTATGGATGATTGTTGCTACAACAGCACTATTCAACAATAACAATGTTTTCTTTTCTTTGGTTGACATCCTTCACCCTTTTAATAACCATAAATAGTGTATATTTATTTATTATATTATTTATTTTAGTACTTAATTATATTTATTTAAAATAAAATAACCTCAAATTGATACATATTTTCTCTGCTGGCAACAATGAAAGTGGGATCTAAAATTGCACAGAAATATCTCTGATGTAAAAAGGTCAAGCTAGGCAAGAGATGTACCATGCAAGACGGACTTGCATAGCATGAGACTTGCATAGCCTAGATGTAAAGCTGCCTTAATGTATCAGCCCCATACCCAAGGGAAACAACCCCCCCCCCAAGCGCAATCGCTAACCAGTTAGCCCCGGTATGTAACAAGTCAACATAGCAAGAAAATAAAAGAAAAAAATAAGGGGTAGTTAGCCTAGAAAAGAATAATAATAATTATTATATATTCCAAATAAAATAAAGAATAAAAATACGACATAGATTAACATTATATCCGAGGATGTTACAGTGGTGACAGCGGTTCCGGTTTAGGGAAAAAATATCGGAAGATAGTGTCAACAGATACGGACGCGTCACCTAACCAGTACGCATCCGGATCTGCGTATTTCTCACCTCTTAGCCTTCTGATTGGCTCCGGACGTTATCCTATTTTCTGATTGATGAGTTACTGTTCACGCCCATTTTTCACACTCACCAAGTGACAAAAATATGATAAAAGAACGTGCTGTCCTCGAGCGCGACTAGTACGCACTCGAGATGCATCGCCCCGCCCCTAATTTTCCTATTGGTCCCTGACCTGGAAATCCCTATATATCGCTACATCTGCGTATATAAATATTGGCGATTTTCAGGTCAACCAGGTCAGTCCCTCACGGGCTGTCCGAGAGCTTAGTGCTCTCGGGGCGCTGCTTTTCTCGTTTTTAGCTTTTTCCTATACTCTGTGGCTGAGTATTATTCAACTTGAATATTTGATGTTTATATCAATCTCTCTCTGATTACAATCTCTCTCGATAGCACTCTCCATTACTATTTAAAAATGGAACTGAGAAAAAAAAGTCTGTAAAAAAATGATATAATGAATAAAACAAATCTACCATTGATCACATATCATCCATCAGACAAATATTAGAAAAAACGACGGAGTACGACATATACTGCCATTACATCTTCGTAGACTTTAAGGCAGCGTACGATACTATTGACAGGTCCCAATTATATTCGGCGATGATCGAATTAGGAATACCAAAAGGTTTGGTAGAATTAATTAAAATGACAATGATTAAAGTCGAATGTAAAGTGCGCGTACAAGGGGATGTTTCAAAACCATTTAAAACCAACAGAGGACTGCGCAAGCTAGATGCGCTATCGTGCAGGCTGTTCAACCTAGCATTAGAAAAAGTTATGAGAGATTCGGAAATAAACTTAAAAGGTACGATATATACCCGTAGTATAGAAATAATGGCATACGCTGATGATATCGTCATAATTGGAAGAACCCAAAATGAAGCATTGGAGGCTTTCACACGTATCAAAAATGCCGCAGAAAACATCGGACTTCTGATTAACATCCAGAAAACTAAATATATGCCGGCCATATCAAGAATTCAACAAAATAACTTACGAGGTGCAACACGAAACGATAGAAAAGGTAGAAGAATTCTACTACTTAGGATCACTGGTAGACTACAAAAATAACACATCCAAAGAGATAAAAAGAAGAATATGCGTGGCTTCTTCTTCTTCAAGTGCCGTCTTCGTTCCGAAGTTTGGCTATCATCAAAGCTATGCGTATTTTTGATGCTGCAGATCTAAACAGTTGGTAATTGGTGCAATTGTACCATTCTCTCAAGTTTTTCAACCATGAATGCCTTCTTCTTCCTATAGATCTCTTTCCCATTATCTTTCCCTGTATAATCAATTGCAGCAACTGGTATTTATCTCCCCTCATAACATGTCCCAAATATTGTAGTTTGCGCTTTTTAACAGTAAGTATCAGCTCTTTCTCTTTCCGCACTCTCCGCAAAACCTCCACATTTGTTACTTTCTCTGTCCAGGGTATTCTTAATATTCTACGATACATCCACAACTCAAATGCTTCTATCTTTTTGGTATCGATCTTTTTCAATGTCCATGTTTCCATCCCGTAGAGGAAAACTGACATAACGTAACATCTCAAAAGCGAATTTTAAGTTTTAGACTTAGATCTCTTTCGCAGAACACCTTTTTCAATTTAGTAAATGTGGCTCTAGCTTTCTCTATTCTGGTTCTGATTTCTTCAGAGCAATCATTATTTTCGTTGATAACAGTTCCCAGGTAATTATATCTTCTTACACGTTCGATTCTTTGATCATGCACGGTTATGTCAGGGAAGTTTTGTGGTGATTTAGATATTAGCATTATTTTTGTTTTGCTTATGTTAAGTGATAATCCGTGTTCTTCACTGCATTCTACTATTTTGTTAATTAGTATTTGAAGATCTTCCCAAGTTTCTGCGATTAGTACCGTGTCATCGGCATATCTCAAGTTGTTTATTCGGATGCCATTTATCTTAATACCTATATTTTGATCCGAAAGTGCTGTGTTTATAATGTCTTCGGAGTATAGATTGAATAAGGTCGGTGAGAGTATACAACCCTGTCTTACGCCTTTCTTGATCTCGATTTCCTCCGTTGTCTCTTGCTCTATTCGGATATTTGCTTTCTGGTTATAGTAAATCTTAGAGATAATTCTAATGTCCCTTTTATCCAAGTTTTTTTCTACTAGCAGTTTCATTAAGTGATCGTGACGAACTTTATCAAACGCTTTGTTGTAATCAATAAAGCACATATGCGTGGCTAACCGCTGTTAATTTGGCCTGGGCCCTCAACTAAGAGCGAGAAGTATGTCAATAGCAACAAAGTGCAAACTTTATAAAACAATAATACGCCCAGTGCTCACATACGGATCGGAAACATGGGCAATGACGACCCGAGTCTTTGAAAGTACAGTATTGAGGACCATATATGGCGGAGTAAACGAACAGGGTCTGTAGAGAAGGCGATATAGCTTTGAACTCTAGACTTTTTGGTGATGCAGATATTGTGAAGACCATCAAAATAAACCGCCTAAGGTGGGTGGGCTACGTTATGCGGATGGATGAGAGTGATCCCACTAAAATAACTACATATGCTAAACAGGCCGGTCGGAAGAAGAAGAAGGGGCAACCTAAACTCAGATATCTGGACGATGTACAGGAAGATCTGAGGGAGATTGGAGTGAGGGGCTGGAGAAGGCAGACAGTCGATAGAGAAGGATGGAAGAATGTTTTGAAGCAGGCCAAGGCTCACGAAGGGCTGTAGCGCCAACTGATGATGTAAAAAAATGTTTTGTCAACATTATGTAGGTGAATGGATGGTTAAAGAATGTGCTAGAAAAGATAGTGGAATGAATGTGCCTGAAGTAAACGTTCGGAGAGCTCGTAGAAATAGGAGAAGTACAGATGAATCAAGACACATACTTCAAAAGTTTTTGTCAGAAATCCCTAAAAAGGAGTCCCATTACTGCTGTTCTAGTTCAAATAAGTTCTACTTAGAGCCTGTATTCCGAAACAAAGCTGAATTTTATAGAGAGTACAAAAACTACTCTTAACATATAAATACAAATTGTCTTTCTAAAACAATTTTTTTTTAGAAGAAATGAACAAATCTAACATAAAAATCTACAAGTCATGAAAAGACCAATGCGATTTGTGTATTTCCTACAGATTGGGAAATATTTCGGATGAAGAGTACATGAAACATAAAAAAAAGAACAAGCAAGACGTTTGAAAATGGAAGATAAAGAGAAAGCTATTAGTCACCCCAAAGAAATCGCGGCTTTTTGTATAGATGTACAAGATCTAAAGTTGTCTCCTGATTTGCAAGCCAGTACCATCTATGTATTATAAGACAAAACTTAGTGTTCTTAATTATACTGTCTACAATATGGCAACCAAAGATGCAATCTGTTACCTCTGGGATAAAGCCCACGGCGGTCTTGAAGCTAATATCTTCGCCACTCTTCTCAAAAAGTTCCTCTACAATTACC